ATCACATGAGATTTGATTCTCAACCTGTGCACATCGTGTAATTTTTGTGAAAATACAAGTGCAATTGTGTTTTTATATATCAACAGGATAAGTAAAACTTAAAAACGAACATTGAAGAATAAAAGTGAGTGTTTGTGATTAGAAATAATTAATTTATACAGTTGAGGTGAAGTGATAAACCAATGTCAAACCGAAGTTTCGAATTTAGTAAAGGGATGATCCCTTCACGATGGTTATCATGTCCTCGCAAAAGTATTGAATTAATAAACAATAAATTTCTCGCGTTTAAAACACCACTTTCTGATGAGTTTAATAATCAAGTTTCTGAAGAATGTCGTTTTTCTGTGAATATGCTGTTTGCATCATTAAAGTATCAAAGATTGAAAATGGGATTACTAATAGATTTGACAAATACCACCACCAGGTTTTATAATAAAGCTGATGTTGAATCTCATGGATGTCGTTATTACAAGCTCCAATGTCGTGGTCATGGAGAAACTCCCTCCATAGAACAAACAAAAGTTTTTATTGAAATTTGCAGAAATTTTATTGCTCGTAATCCATCTAAGATCATTGGAGTTCATTGCACCCACGGTTTTAATAGAACCGGGTTTCTTTTAATAAGTTACTTGGTTGAAAGTAACATATTGAACTTGGATGCTGCTGTAAGTGAATTTTCAACGGCTAGACCTCCTGGAATTTATAAGGAAGACTATATTAAAGAGTTATACAGGCGATATGATGATAAGAATGATGTTCTTCCTGTACCACCACTACCAACTTGGTGTTTAGAATATGATAATTTAAAAGGAAATGGAAAACAACATGATAAATGTGAAAATCGTGAATATACTCAAGATGGAGTTTTCATGGCTGGAGTTTCTGAAGTAAAACCAGTACGAGATTTAGCTAAAGTTATGAGAATTCAACAAAGAATTCAAAAAATCTGCAAATGGAATAGAAGTGGTTTTCCTGGTTCCCAACCTGTCTCTATGGATCAGAATAATATCATTCAATTTAATATCAAACCATACCAAGTATCATGGAAAGCTGATGGTACTAGATATATGATGTTTATCCAAGCAAACGAAGAAGTGTTTTTCATTGATAGAAATAATAGTGTCTTTGAGGTATCCGGATTGACTTTTCCACACTGTGAAGATGTTTCAAGAACTCTGAAAGATACTTTATTAGATGGAGAAATGGTTATTGATAAAGTAAATGGTACCGAACATCCTAGGTACTTAGTTTTTGACATTATCATGTGTGATGGTGAAGATGTATCGACAGACTTATTTTTTATTGAGCGATATGCTATAATCGAGAAAGAAGTGATAGGAAGCCGAATGAGAGCATTAAATGAAGGCCGAATACGACGAAATCAAGAACCCTTTTCTATTCGTCAAAAGCAATTTTGGGATATTACACAAGTCAACAAGTTATTGAGTGAAAAATTTGTGAAACAATTGGGTCATGACCTAGACGGCCTGATCTTCCAGCCTTCGAAGGAGCCTTACATCCCTGGACCTGCAGCAACCGTCTTGAAGTGGAAGCCACTATCGTTGAATTCAGTGGACTTCAAATTGAAAATAGTCGTCGAATCAGGTATTTCATCAAAAAAAATTGGTCAATTATATGTTGGGGGTTTAAGCGAACCATATAATTTTATTGCGGTTACTAGGGAAATAGAAAAGCTCGATAACAAAATCATTGAATGTAGTTTCAAGAACGGGTTGTTGGGTATTTATGCGCGAAAGAACTGATAAATATTTCCCAAATTCATTTACGACTGCTTAATCAATTTTAAATAGTATAATCGCGCCGGTAACATCTGAATTTATGATTAATTACATAAGTAAACATAAATTCAACGAGAATTGGGAGGATTGCTTGCTTCCACCAGCCAAACGACGGCGATAAATTAATTAGATTTTTTTTTATATTTTCAAATTTTAGCATGAGTTGAGCAGATTAGAGTCACGCGTCTGTTTATGTTTTTTTTTCTCTTCTAGCATGAGTTGAGCAGATTAGAGTCACGCGTTTATTTTTTTTTTTTTAATGATCAATGATTAAAACAGTGCGTATGGTAAAATCTTACCAACGCACCAATATGAGATCAATTAAAAAAAAAAATTTTTTTTTTATCGTAATTATTTCCAATTAAAGTTTAATTTTGAGAATCTATAAATTCAGTAATAATGAGTAGAGTAACATATTAAAAATATCTTTTTTTTTATTACAATGCAATACAGCATTTATGATGGGCTTAAAAATTTTTTCTTGACTATAAATGAATTTAATCGAAATATTTATCGGTAAACAAACATATTGTATCTGATGTAATTTCTAACTTTTCTAGCTCTGGAAATATGAATTTTCTAAATTTTATACTAAAATGAAAAAGTAAACTCGAACAGACGTACCGCAATAAGATTAATATGTAAATTACTGTTATAACTAAGACTGTTCTAATAGATAATGTATAATGTTCAATTGCCAATGCAAAATTACCATAATTGTGGTTATTAATTTCAATTTTAAAATAGATAATTTGAAAACATTTATTACGGAGGTAATAAATCCAAGGTAAGAAACATTTTCAATTTTATTCTATTTAAATTGAATTCATTATTAAATTCAATTTCCGATTTTTTGAATTTTTCCATATAGTATTCTAAATCAACGGTTTAGAGTAACAGTGACCAAGTACTTTTCTGGGAATGACTAACTTTGTTTTTATCTTATCTTTTTCAGCCTAAATGGGCAAGCTTTAGCCTATAACTACCTGCCAAACTTGAAGACTGCAATAAAATCTCAAATAGAATAAAGGCAGAAATTTAGGGTAGTAATGTACCTGAACTCTTTCAAATGAAGATTGAAATGGGAAAATCCTCTGAAAATTGTAAAAAGTCACGTAAAGACACTCTAAAATAGATAAAACTAGTTTCTTTTCAATGAATATGTACAAATCTAATTGTAAATTACCAAAACTTTGACTATTTTGCAGTACTTTTATGTTTTTCAATTATTTTCCCATTTAAATCATTATTTACAACTGTTCAGGTACATTTTTACACTAGATTTCTTACTTTATTCTATCATAAATATTATTGTATTTCTAAATATTTAAAATATTTATAAAAGAAAAAATCAATTTCTCTCTTTATAGAAAAGATTCCCTGTCATCTTAAAAAAAAACCGCTTGTTGGAACCTGCCGATATCATAGCGAGCATTTACTTTCTTACCATCAGATGTTTCGAGAAGCATATAACTCGTCATACCTACAGACAATTAGACTTCAATCATTATAGTTGCAGTGATGATTTTCGGGAAGCCGGTGCCACTGTTTATGTGAATGTTAGAGGAACTCTATGTATCTTCATTTATGGCCAATTCGACTATGTGATTGTCCACGTCAAGGTTATAATAAGTAATAAATTTAATATCTCGAATATAATAATTTTTCAGTACAATTTTATTCTGTGAGAAAATTAATTATGAACGAGTAGATTTTTGGAATGACATTAAATTCACTGTGGTCAAGATGTTTTCATTGCTAGTGTAATTTATTTATCAAAAGGTAATTGCAATTGTCACGAGTACATTTTACATACAATATGTGAAAGTGAACAAAATATTTCACGTTTATATTTACTAATAATAAGCAATATAATGTATTAAAAATTTTTGCTTTTTATTACGTCGAAATATAGTATTTTTATGGTGTTTTTTAATTTTTTTTAATGTCAATAAATGCAATTGAAATATTCATCTGTAAACACACATGTTTTGTTGAAAGTAAATTTTGATTTATTTTCTAGCTCTAAAAAAATTATTCTGTATTTTATACTAAAATGAAAGGTAAACATAAACAAACCCACTACAATACGATCAATATGTAAAATACTAATATAATTAAGACTTCTCTAATATAATATCCAATTAGTGATAATAAAAATATAGAGCAGTAGGTAAGAATTGTGTCAATTCTTTACATAAAAACGTAAACGTAATACTCAGTGATTTGAATGATAGCGAAACATATCATAATAACATGTTTGAATATTCCAATAATTATTTGTGCAAAATGAACATACTAATATTTATTATTATTATTACACAGTTAACAATGTCTGGAAGCAGTGAAAAACCGAAGGATGTATATGACAATGAAACAATGAATGTGAACTTATCTAGTTCAGATAAAGATGAGAAATGTGAAATTTCGAACGAGTTGTCGAATTATCGGGATATTATGTTAAAAAATCAATTTGACTTGAAGAAAAAAGAGGAAGAAGTTCAGGTAAGATAGCTTTTAACTCAATTGATTAATAAAGTAGAGTGGTTATACAATTTTATAAGAATGTTTTTTCTATTTTATTCAAAAGGGATATGCTGAAAAATTGACGAAAATTAAATCAAAAGTGAAATCTTCTCGCCACAGCACAGAATCCACTTCAAGAGTAGATGAAAGTGATGATAGTATACATAATATTAGTGATGCAAGAACTCCATCCGAAAAGAGCCTTTTATTAAAAAAAAAGTTAGAAGAAAATCGTAAAATATTTGAACAAAGAAATAAGGAATTAAATGAAAGTAAACGTGCAGCTGAAGTACAAGTTGAGAAAATACTTCAGCAATTAAATGATAGCTCCAGTGATAATATTAATATTCCGTTAGTAAATCCAATTGACGATAAAGATAAGCAAATAAGTGAATTAAATAGCAAAATAAATGAATTGGAGTCAATAATAATTGATTTAAAAGATAGTTTAAGCAATAAAGATGCAGTCATTGAGTCCAAAACAAAAGCTATTACCTTAGTGACGGATAACTTATCTCAAAAAAGCAAAGTTACTCTTGACAAATTGGAAGATACTAAAGATGAAATGCGTCACATGCAAGAAACTTTCATTGCAACTGAAGAAGGGTTTAGAATGAAAATTAACAATTTATTGTCTCAACTTCAGGAACGAGATTCAACTATTATTGAGTATGAAGATAAAATAAAATATGTAACATCAGAAAATGATCAACTAAGATTACAAAATGATCATTTCAATCTCATAATCAGTAATAAAGACAAACAAATTATCGAATTGGAAGAGAAGTTTAAATCAGAAGAAGATTTACATAATTTAATAAACGAAAAAGATAACCAAATTGCCAAACTCCAAAATAGTATACAAGAACTTAATCACAATATGATTAAAATTAAAGCTCAAAGTAAGAGTAAATTAAAAAATTTACAAGAAAGATTGGATAGTTATTATAAGGTAAGAGAACAGAACAGTATAGTTGAAATATATTAAGTTAGGAATAATGAAAATTTATTATGATTGTTATTTGTTTAGAGTTCGAGTTCGAATGAGGAAGAAGTAAACCTAGTCAATAAAGTTGCAATATTAGAGGAAGAAATAGGTAATTTACAACTGATTCTTGTCGACTTTGATGAAATTAAGGGTGAGAAAAAATTTCAGGGTTTTATTTTTTCTAAATTTTGTTCTCCTAAAATCTACACTTTTTAAATTATTCTATCCTTTTATGTCTTTTAAAATAACTTAAAAATGAATCAATTAATATTACAACGTCTATAAACTTTCTATTATTTAATTATAGCTGTTAATGATGATTTGAAAAAACGTATTACTGAATTAGAAGACCAGTTAGCACAAAAAACAGATGAAGTTCAATCGTATAATAATGCAATAGTGGCATTGGAGAACCAAAAGTTTGAGCTCATCCAAGGTAAGAAACATTTTCAATCTTATTCCATTAAAATGCGATCTTTTTTAATATCTTATGAAATATATTTACAGAATTGCATGAAGTCAAACAAGAACTGTTGACATTTGATTCACTAAAATGCGTTGAATTTGAAGAAAAAGAAGAATTATGCAATCAGAATCAAAACAAGGACGTAGCCAATGATGTTACACAAAATAATTTAGAACTACTGAGAGTATTAAATGAATTACAAAACCAAGTGAATGTGGTATTAAACGAAAAAAGTGCATTAGAAGAGAAATTTAATAAATTCACATTGTATTTAAATAGTAACAATGAAATCTTAACAGAGTTACAGTCAGAAATAATTGACTTAAGAGATTGGAATGATGGCCAATGCCATGTCATTCAAAAGATATTAGCAGATTTGAACGAAAATCAATTAGAATCAAGTCAAAAGAATTATTTACTTGACTACCATCAAGGCCTTTCTGATAAAAATCGCAACTTAGAGTTAAAAGTGGTCGAAATAAGAAATTCAATTGATATTTTCAGAAATGTATTCGAACACTTAACTCATGATAAAAATGTCTGGAACAATAAATTCTTCTTCAAAAATATCGATATTTCTGATATCAACGCTCTAGAGAATTTAAATATTATAAATTTACTTTCTGACAATAGTTTTATACCTAATAATAATAGCTATAGTGAAAATAATTTAACAGAAATAGAAAAGTTAATAAAAATTTTGGATTTGGATAAGAAACATATTGACAATAGTAAACTTGTAATTAATGAATTAGTTCAACGATTAGAAGAAAGTGATCATGATAAATTGCTCATTAATAAACTAGCTAGTGAATTGGATGGTTTGTCGAGTAATATGATAGAAGAGCGAAATTCATTGACGACAATAATAAATGACACAAGTTTAGAAGATAAAGAAATCATTAGTTATAAAAAATTAAAAATATTAGACAAAATACAACAGAAAAATGAATTGATTACATTACTGTTCGAAGCAATGTCGAAATTAACACAAAATGTTGAACCAAATAAAGCAATAAGAATGCTTCTTGACGAAAGTATATTACCAAATTTCAAGAGAACAAGTGACGAAACCATAAATTCAATCCAATTACTTCTAAACGACCAATCAATATTGGAGATTATACTTTCGTTAATAACTGAGAACTTTGTAAATGCAATTGTTGAAGAAAAAGAGAAATTGGATCATCTTGAAACACAAATGTCATCGGTATTAAGTGATCGAGACAAGTTAAAAAAACAATTACAAGCAATGGACGAAGAATATGGTTATGGTGATGAAATAAAACAAAAATGGGACACCTTAAAAACGGAATTAGACGAAAAAGAAAAAATGATAGAAACAATGACTGCGGAAAAAATGAAGCTAAAGGGGGTAGAGATAATTGCCGGTTCTAATAACGAGTGTATAAAACAAATAAGTGAATTAGAAAAAAAATTATCTACAATCAGTAAGATAGTTGAAGAACAGAAAATAAAGTTTCTTTCGATAGAGAGTGAATCAGAAGAATTGAAAGAAAAAATAAATATGAAAGAAGGTCAACTAAATTACGTAGATAAGTGGTTGGCCGAAAATGAAGAATTTATTCATAAAATTAGAAAAAAGGAATCAGAAATTGCGTTACTTTCAAGTCAGGCAGAGGAGAAAACAATAGAAGAAGAATCATTAACATTATCAGATTTGACGAGGATCAATGAGTTGGCTGTTGAAGTCAAAGCTCTGGAAGATCAAATGAAATTTCATGAATCAATTCTCGAAAAAGTTTTTCTTGATTCAACTATGCCTGCCGATACAATAGCAAATAAAATTTATAATTTCATGCAAGGATTACAAAACAAGAATAATTATTTAGAGAAAGAGATCGAAGAATGGAAGAAAAAATTAAATCAAACCCAAAATCATAAACAAGTAGACGAAAAACATGAAGGCGAAAAATTAGATTTTGATACAGAAAATAAAGACATAATGTTGGAGTCAGAAGGAGAAGCTTCGGAACAATTAGAAAAGATTGAAAAAGACTCTACACTCGTTTTGGATGATAAACGAATGTTAGAGGACGAAATAAAATTAATAGATAATCAACTTGAATCTGTAAGTGAATTACATAATAAAATAGCGACATTAGAAAATCAATTGATAGAAAAAGATCAGTTAAATAATAATAATGTTATTAGAATCAATGAATTAACTGATGAGATTGTGAATTTAAAAGAAACATTAGTGGTTTGTGAAGGAAACCTTTCACTAGCTTTGAAAGATAAAGAAATATTAGAAAATCAGATGAGAGAAAAAGAGGAAAAACTCCAATCAATGAATGAAAAATATCATGAAAATGAAATCTTACGCTATGAGCTAGAAAATAAAATGGGCATAATTCAATCAATTGAAAACGAAAAACTAGCTTTGGAGAATCAATTAATAGAAGCCAAGAAAATCAATGAAAATAATTTAGAGAAGAACGATAAATTATCATACGAAATTGATGTTTTGAATAAAAAATTAGTCGAATACGAACAGAATTATCTATCTATCCTAAACGATAAGAAAGCATTGGAAAATGAAGTGAAAGTAAATGACGAGAAACTTAAATCAATAAATGTATTGCAGAAAAAAATTGAAAATCTACATGAAGGAATAGTCAACCGAGAACAAACAATAGAGACAATGCAGAGTGAGAAGACTATGTTGGAGATGCAGTTAAGAGAACAAGAACATTGTCATCAGGAAAATATAACAAAAATAAATCAATTATCAAACGAAATAATTGCTTTAAATCAACGGTTAGCAGAATATGATGAACATTTTACGATGGTTTTAAATGATAAGCAATCATTAACAGAACAATTGAAAGTAAAAGATGAAAAACTTGCCTCAATAAATGAATTAAACGGTCAAATTGAACAATTAACGAATGCAATAAAAAATAAAGAAATTAATCTTGAGTCACTTTTAGGTGAAAAGAATTCGTTGGAGAATGAACTTCGACAAAAAATAGAATTCGCTCAAGATAACGCATTAAGAATTGATGAACTAACAAGTGAAATATCACAACTGTTGAAGAAGAATGAAGAATATCAAGATCAGATTCAAAAGAGCAATGAAAAATTGAATTCCATGAATGAAATACATGGACAGATTGAAGAATTAAATCAAAAATTGAAAAATAAACACGCAGAAATACAATCAATTGTTAACGAAAAAAATATATTAGAAAGTCAATTAAATGAAAAAGAACAAATGCACCAGGATAGTTTAGTGAAAATATATGAATTATCAAATGAGTTAGATATTTCACACCAACAATTGGCAGAACAAAAAGAGAATCTGACCAAAATTATGAACAGTAAAGAGATATTAGAAAATGAATTAAAAATGAAGGATGAAAAGCTGATGGCAACTGAAGAATTGCATCAAAGAATTCAACAACTTAGTATAGAAAAAGAAGAACAACATGCAGAAAATCTGTTGAAAATTAATGTTCTCTCAAATGAAATTGACACACTGAAGAAGCAAATTACAGATTATGAGCGAGATATTGCAGCTATTTCTAGTGATAAAGAAATTTTGGAGAATGAAATAATACAAAGAAATGAACAATTAAAGGCAATGAATTGTTTGAAAGATCAGATTGAAGTATTACATACTGAATTAACAGGTAAGAATCATTTGATTGAATCTCTGACAACAGAAAAAATTACTTTAGAAGAGAAGTTACAAGACATAGAAAATTTAAAAGAAAAAGTTGATCAATTAAATACAGAAATAGTTAATAGAGAAGTGACAATGGAAGAGATATTGAAAGAAAAGAATATTTTGATGGAACAGTTGGAAGAGAAAGAACAATTAAATAAAACCAATGCAGTAAAAATAGAAGAATTGAAAAAAGAAATTGAAAGTGCACAACTAGAAATATCTAAACGAGCATGCAACACAACATCACTGTTGGATAATATAAAACGTCTAGAACAAGAACTGAAGAAAGCTAAAGAAAAAAGCTCAGATGACCGAGAAAAATTAGGAACAATGTTAGATAATATTGAGAAATCAATTGATAACCAAGTGGTTGAAGATAAAAATAAAATTTCTTGGTTAGAGCAAGAGTTGGAATCTACAAAGAAACATAATTTCAACCAAATGCAAAAAATGAAAATCATTGCTGCAAATTTGAAGAAAAAAACTAATCAATGTCAAGAATTCGAAAGTGCGGCAAAAGAATTTAAAGAAAAATGGGAAAATGAAATTTCAGAAAAGAAAGAATTAAATATGAAATTAGAGATGTTGGAATCAAATCTTAATGATAAGGATATTAAAATTGCTGAGTTTAGTGAGTTGTTAAAGAAACGAGAAAACGATTTGCAGTATTTGAAAGAGAAAATTGATATACTTGAAAGTGATATAAACAATCGAGTAGTTCAGTTTAATAATCTTAGAGAAAAAATTGTTACAGAGCTTGAAAATTGTAAAAAAGAACATTTGGTAGATGAAAGCTTAAAAGAAACTTACAGAAAAATTTTAGATCTTGGAATCCAAGTCAAAGAAATAGAACTCTGTAATATTAGTGATTGGAGTTTACTTGGATTATTGAAATCTGAAAGTGAGGATTTATTCAGTGATAGTTATGTGAATGAATTACAAGAAAATACAGGTATTGATTACAGTGATAAGTATAACATGTTTGAGTTTGTCGCTTCTAAAATTATTGAAGATGCAGGAACTAATAGGAAAGATTTTAAAAGTATTATTTCCAAGATGGCCGAAAAATATGTTATAATTGAAAGCCTTAATTTTAAAAATAAAAAACTAACAGAAATAATTAATTCAATTCATACAAATCGTCAAGTTCCAAATGAAGAATTGCAATCACCACAAATGTTAGAACCTCTAGAAACAGCAACCAAAGTAGAAAGCGTATCAATAGTAACCGATGCTATAGTTGAAGAAAAAACAGGCCACGTTGAAGAAAATATAGAAGAAGAGAACCAATCAACAATAAATTTTGATGATGAAGAAGTGTGGGGATGGAATGAAGAGAATACAGGACCTTCAGAATTTAAGATTCCACTTTGTACTCCAGAAACTCAGATTCAAATTAAAATTGCAGAATTAGAAGATAAAGTAAAAGATTTGCAAGATAAAAAAATGGAAGTTGATGAAGAATTAAAAGTAATTCAAATTAAGAATAAAAAACTGATTAAAAAATTACAGGAATATAAAATTCAAAATTATAATTTACAGCAACAGATAACATTACAGTCAAATTCAAGTAAGCTCAATGATTTAGATTACACGATAGAAGAGGAGCTAAAGAGTCAAATTACACAATTAGAAACAAATTTGAAAAAACTTCGAGAAGATAATGAAAAAATTTCGACAGAAAGAGATAATCTTTCGAAAAAAATTGAAATTTTAACCACTACTAAGGATGAATTAAATAAAACTATGACAATGAAAAACAATGAATTAATGATGCAAATTCAACATTTGAGTCAGAGTATTCAAAGCAATGATAGTGTCGAAAAGATTTCTCATAGAAAGAGTACTGATTCTGAAAGTGGAGCAGTCAATCAGGATAAATGTATTGAGCATGAAGAGAAGATTTCTAAACTTGAAGAAAATTTGAACGAAATTTTATCAGAAAACAATGAATTAAAGGCTTTAATTGATACTTATGAGACTGAGTTGAACTTGAAAACAAAAGAAATGGAAAATTTATCAAGTCAAACAGAGTATTCAAAACTCAACTTCTTTAATATGTTAGAAGAATCAAACAGTGAAAAAAAAGAATGCTCAGATAATTTAAGTGATGTATTTACAAAATCTGAAAATGTTCATGCCAATCATCAATCAACACTAGAAAAAGAAAGGCTAGAGAATGATGAATTAAAAGCAACTATTTCAACTCTTAAAGAAGTTGAACGAGAATTGAATGAAAAAATATCGAAACTGGAACAAGATTTACAAGAAAAGAAAAATGAAATCAACGCCATGGAGCTTAGTTTCAACCATTTGGAATCTCTTTGGAATTCAGAAATAAAGAAGAGAGCAGAAATGGAACAAGAACACGAGGAAATACGAAATAAATTGCGTGTTACAGAAGAAGAATTAAAAGAAGTCTCATTGATAAATGAATCAAAACTAGCTGACAATAAAGTATTGATTTTATCATTGCAAAATCATATAAATACATTGAAACAGAAGATCGAGGATAAGAACAACGAAATCATAATCATAAATTCTACATACAATGATTTAAAACATATTTACGATGAACAGGTGCAAAATAATCAGGAAGTACAGTCAAGGTATGACGAAATAGTTGCCGAATTGAAGCTAAAAACCGGTGAATTTGATCAACAATTTCTAGAAAAAGATATGAAAATTGAAAATTTAGAACAAAGCTTGAAAGAAACTCTTGAATCTCTGCATAGTAAAGCTCAAGAATTAAATGATTTGGAATATAAATTAAGGGATCTTCAAAATTCAAGTAAAATCGAAGCTTCAGAGTCGATATCTGAACTACAAACTGTACAACTTGTAAAAACTGAAAATATTAGGGATCAAGAAATTCAAACATCAGAAGAAATTTATGAAAAATCGATAAAAGAGCATGAAAATTATTCAAAATCATACGAAAATCTTCAGCGTCAATTAGCTGAAGTTAATGAAGCGATGACTAATGTTACAGCTTTGTTGAATATTCGAGTTCAAGAGGTAGCAGATCTAAAACAGTACATAAAGAAATTAGAATTCGATAAAATGGCAGTTGATAATGCTAATACCGAATTGAATAGTGACAATTTGAAACTTAATGATAAAAATCAAGAACTAACACATCATTTGAATAAATTAAAAGAAGAATTAGATGAAAAAAATCAGGTAATTTTATCTTTAGAAGCTAAACTAATAGAATTACAAGCCTTACATGATGGTGCCATTTCTGATTTAAATAATCAGAGTTTAGAGATAAAATCATTAAAAGATGTAATTAATAATAATGAAATTTTGATACAGAATTTAGAAGCTAATGTTGCTGATCGAGATACACAAATTTCTAATGTCAGAGAAGAATTATCTGATTGCCATCATAAGATTGAAGAATTATCAACGATGATATCTGATCTTCAGAATTCAATGATTTCACCTAAGAAATTTAATGAAAAGTTACATGAAATAAAACAATTAGAAGAGACTATTGAAACAATGAAAGAAGAGCATAGTATGTTGACTGATGAATATGAAAAGAAATTAAGTGAAAATACGATTGCTTTAGATGAATTAAAGAGTAACTTGAGTATTAAAAGTGAAGAAGTAGAGGATTTGAAATTTATTTTAAATGACAATACATACCCAGGCATGATTCAAGAACTCCAAGATAAAATTGATCATTTATATGAAGAGAAGCAACAACTGCAATTATCAGTAGCAGAAAAAACAGGTGAATTGTCTTTCCAAACCAATAGAAGTAAAAACAGTCCAAATAATGATGATCCAAGTCAAGTTAAAGATTCAATTTCAAGTGAATTGGATGCAGCTCTTTATATGCTTCATCAACGTGATGTAAGATGTGAAGAGTTGACTCACGAATTATTACAATTACTTGAAGAACGAGATACACTTCAATTACGTTTATCAAATGCAATAAAAATAAATGAAGAACTGAAAAAATACACACCCAGTACTTCCAAAGTTTTAGCAGATGATATAGATAGTGGTGGTGAATCAGCCAGTAGTTCGACAACACATGACAAACCCCTGGAACCGAAGGAAGATATGGAAGTGCTCAATCAAAAGTAAGATATTTTTTAATTGACTCTTTTAAGCTGAAAATAATTTATAGTTATTATAAATAATTATTGTTTACTTATCGATGTTTTTTTTTCTTTCGATAACTTCTATTAAAAAATCAAAAATTAAATAATTTTATAAAAAATTAGTTACAGAGTATGTTTTGATAAATAAAAATTTCATTAAATGATTCATTTGAACATGATTAAAATATTTAAGATCCTTTAGTTAATTGGAAGTATTTATTTTTGGTAAAAGTTGCTTTTTGAATTTTGTGTAATTAAATTTCATTAGTAAATAACATTTGATTTTAAGTAATTATTTTTTTTTAGTTGTATTTACATGTTCATATGCTAGATAAATTTGATTTCCCTGTAGGTTATCACAGCTCCATAATGTCAACTACCATAGAGACATACGATTGATAGATGAACGTGAATCACGACACATACAACAAATGTCAGTAATTCCGCACAAAAATACGCTTAATCCTTCATCGACAGACTCTTCTGCAAGAATCATCGATGCTAATTATACAGTCTGTACGTATTTTTGTATCCATATCTGCTTTAAAAATAATTGAACTTATAATCGTAGTGATATTATAGCTATTTATATAAAATTCATGATTAATTATAAAAATCGTTTTTTTTTTAATTCTTTTAATTTTTTATTCAAACATTTTTATACTTTTATAGCACGAGATGTTCAGAGCCAACCGAACGTACTACTGAATTGGCTCTGGGGTAAAAGGTAATGTCTATAGTTATTTTTTAAAACAAATACATTAATTAATTGTAAAAATATTTAAATAATTTCATTTTTTAATTTTAGTACTCCAAAAGTAACACACATGTAGCAAGAGAGACAATTAAAGAAGATAAAAAAACGAAAACATAACACCATACGATGAATCCACAATATTTTTTTTGTATATTTTCATACTTATTTTCATAATAACAATTTCACATCTTTACAAAAAACGTTTATACTTGAAAAAAAGGTATTTTAAATCGAAAAAAATTGTAATTATATTGAAAATATGTAATTTAATTTATAGTTAAAATTCGCTACTACAAGAGTTCTTGAAAAATGATTATATGCTTGTAAAATAATAAGGATGTAGATAATTAATGAATGAAATTGACGAAAAATGTTAAATATATTTATAAATATGCATGTTTTAATGGCAAAGTAATATATGGATTTTTCATATTTAAGTACATGGCAAAAAAAAAATTTCATAAATAAATTTTAAATATTGTAACAATGAAAAATGTTGATTTATTATAATAGTTTTTCAGCATTCCAAATGTTATTATAAATAAAATTATATTAAGTTATCAAGACGTTAATTTATATTTACACTTTTTTCTTCAAGAACTAAGAATAAAAATATTTTATAATGATATTGAATTTGTTTTATCTAATTTCACTTCACTGAAATTATTTCTCGTTAACAAAATACTATTTTAATTTTTCAAACTTTCCATGAATATTTTTATTCATCACATTCAATTCCTTTGTTTTTTATTTATGATCAATGTCTTTATTCGAAGAATTATTGTTCATATTATCAACTTGAGTACTTGTTTCTTTGTGATTGTTTATTGTGACCAAATTATTCTCTAAAATGCTTTTTACATTTATTTTCCTAAAAATAACTTGTTTTTTACGTTCTCTAAAAAGACTACTCAACTTGTTTGCATTAATTGGCATTTTATGTTTTAATTTGGATTCCTCTGAATAATTTCTCGAACTTGATGCGGGGTTTGATGCTGACGAATGCTTTTTATTTGTATTCTTATAAAGATGAGGTAAGGTTAATACTTCATTTCTGTATTGTTGAACAGCAGCATTGTTTACTCCATGAGGTCCCAACACTCGTGGTATTTTTTGGAATTCATGAAGATGGCTGTTCTCAGTAATGAACTTATCAATTTGGCTTTTGATAGTGTCAGCAAAAATTGGTTTATAATTATCACTAAAAGGAATGCCAGTAAATGGATCACTCAGTGGTCGACCCCAGAGAGCTTCATTTTCTCCGAATTTTTCTAATGTATGAAAATCTATGATTTTCCCACAAGGCAGAATAATTGGTTGAATCATTATTGTGAATGTTATAGGATCTAAATATTCTTCTGGAATTTCCGTCAAGGTTTTATTTGGAATACTGTAAAAAAAATTTTGATTATTTTCTTTTTGAAACAAAAAATGTAATAATATTAATTTCTTTCATAAATTATAGAACATACTCTTTGTCTTGGATTCCATTTTTCAATTTACAAGTTAAAGCATCTTGACTTGGTATATCACTTTGTACTAAACGTTTGTGAAATTGAAACCATGATTCAGGCAGTTTATTATAAGGAATATGTCCCCAAATTTCAATACGTTTGAGAGCAGCAACAGAATTTTCAGTTCTAGTGATAGTTAGCCTCAGACTTTTTACATTATTTTTAATCTTCTGAGGACCATTCATGTACCTAACTATAAAATCATCATTTATTTTTAATTCATTAGTACTTTCACTTCGGCAAAAAATTATTCCACTATCAGTTATTGATAAATCACCACTGGAAATTTGGTAATAAGATGAATTTCCAACAATAGTACTATTTTCAGTATTTGTTTTTACAAATATTCTAAAACTTTTTGATTTTTGAGCACCAACTGATGGCCAAATTTTAATATGACTCAATTTAATATTACTTATAAAATTAAAATCTATATTTATTGGAGGTTTTATACAAGAATATACTAAAAAACCTTTATCACTATCTAATAATAAATTATTAATGTCATGATCATCATTGCTCGGTTTATCGCATTTGATTTCAGTTTGTAAAAGATGGTGACATAAATTCACTAAAACCATATTTTATATGCAATAAAATTTCGTTATTTTGCATGAAAAAAATAATTAGTAATGAATACTTTATTTATTTAATTTAATAATTACTTAAATACTTTCATTTTAAAATTAATTAGAAACTCTGGTTTTATAATGTAACAATAAAAAATAATCACAGAATAATTAAATGTCAAAAAACAACTGAGATGTTTATGTTGCTTACTGTCTCAGCTGTTTTTCTCTTTCTTTGTCTGACACACAAACTATACGTACTCATTTTCAACCTATCATTTCTCTTCCCTCAAAAATCATGCACAAACTATTGTATAATTATGAGTTTGGAGTTCAGTGTAAATATATTCAAAGCTTGATGCTCTGTTTTAATTGATAATCAGTTTTTATTCGTTTATTTAATAGATTTTTTAATATAGTCATATTTAAAAAGTTTTTTTAATCATTTTTAAACCATGACAGATAACAGAATAATTGATATTATGGAAATTGAACCACGATCTTTGAAACCTCAAATTTCCAATCCATCATCTGTAAGTATTAAAATTTATTTAATTTTTTTTTTTTTTAGAAAATCAACTTTATAAAGGCATAAATAATTATAGAATAATTTTTTCTTAGATAAAAGAAATCTCCAAAGACATTCCAGAAGTCTCCTTACTCATAAATACTAGCCAACCAAGAAATTTACGAACTCCATCTCGCACATTTAATGATCAGGTTTCACAAAATAGATACCAATATAATCAAACAGGATATATTAGTAAAAGTAATCAAGCTTCGAGTTCTCCTTGGAAACCAGAGAGACCTTTAATGCCTATAACCCATATTAACGTTCAACAATCACAGCAAAAAATGCATCCAACACCTGCAATAAGAGATAGAAACCAACAACCAAGAATAAACGAAGTTGAATTAAAAAATCGTAATTATTCACCAGATTTAAGATTAAAATTTTACCAAAAACTCCAAGATTTTCCAAAACAAGTACCTGATAATGTTGTAAAATCTAAAGAAAACGTAAGAACACCTCCAGTAAGAAGACAATTTTCACGACCAATGATTTGTACGTCAGGAGAAGTTTCTAATTTAAGCGAACAGACATCGAACATGAGTAAAAGATCATCTCCCATCAATAAATCTAATAACAGTAGTCATAGAAGCAAAAACAATAGTTACAATAGTAACAATTCTAATAATGATGGTAGTATTAATAAAGATAAACAAAATGTTAATAAAGATAAACAAAATGTTGATAAAGATACTGTTAAACAATTGGCTAATTTAATTAAGAATCAAGCAACACAAATTCAGGGATTAAAAATGCAAATTAATTCTTTAATTGCACTTCAAAAGGAAAAGTTGAAAAATCAGAAGTTAATATCAAAGGTGAGAATAATATTTGCTCTTTATTTTTTACTGAAAAAATCACGAAATATTTTTGTGTAAATCATTTAGTTATAATTAATTATTTATTGTAGGTTCGTTGTATTGATCAAGGGAACAATTCTAAACCTCAGATGATAATGAGACAAAATCAACAAATAACTCAAACTAGTACAAATACAAGCTGTGCTGTAGTAGAAAATAAAATATCAGTTGGTGTTATGACTAGTTTTGAATTTACTTTAAAAAATAAACAATCTGGAAGCGATATTGACGATATTAGACAACGACAACAACAAATCTTGAATACTCATGGAGAGAAAAATAATTTTATTTTACCTCCAAATATTTCTAGTCTTACGAAAAATGATTTAGAACATCATCTTAATAGTCCTAATGAACTTATCAATCAAAATAATTGGTTTAGTTCAAAGTAAGTAGTTGATTTATTTTAATTATATTCATGAAAGATATTTTTCATAAAATCGTTCGATTTAGTGAGATGCAATCAAAAGAACCTTTTGCTCGAAGAATGAATATGGAGCAGAATGGAGGTGTACCATCATTGAATATGCAAGATAAATATTATTTAACTGAAAATAATAATGAAATGCTTCAGTCATCGGTGCAACCTAAAATTGGCTGGACATTTTATAATAATATTTTATGTCAGGTCAATGAAATTTTAAATAATTCTCATGATATTCGTCAACCAACGCAACATCTGTATAACACAATCATGCAACAAAGATCAACAGCTAGGCAACTGAAGTTCTTTGGAGCTAAATTTTCAGACTTAAAAGATATTGTTGCAGCTAATATTAGTCAAAAGTGAATAATTATTATTCATTACTAGTAATTTTCTTCCATCAAGCATTTAAGTGATTAAAATAACTAATTTAAAAATTTTTTTCAGAATTACTGCAACTGTAGATTCATCATATTATCCAAGGGTAAATTATCAGACTAATGCCATTCCTTCAGGAGATTCCATTGATTCAAATACAAGTTTCCATATGCGTAAACTTGCTATGAAGTATCTTGGTAAAAATAATGTTTCTGAATCGATGGTAATGAATGAACAATTGATTAGTAGAGTTTTAATCGATAATGAACATGCTCATAATAATAATTTATCAATGAAAGCAGCATGTAATTATACTGAAAAACATATTATGACTTCGGATGAGAGTCCTTTTAGGCATATTGATGGTAAGATCTTTAGTTAATTTAAGATAAATTATTAATTTTCTGAATTTAATGACTTTGAGGTTTCAGGTCGAAAAAACCATCATTAATATAATCCATATTAAACATCTCAAGTTTAAAACTATAATCCAAACTTCTCAATCATGAGTTTGGCAGGATAATTTATCCATTAAAATTTTATCATTGTTACGAATATTAGTATGTATGTATATTTTTCTACCTTTATTATAAAAGAAAGAAGAAATCTAACGAAGACAATAAATGTATTATAAATGAATTTATTATTAAGAAATTTCGTAAAAGCTTATTTAAATATTTATGCACACTTTGTACTGCCACATAATTTTATTTTATAAAAAATATTTATAGGAAGTTATTGAATAATAAGTGATCCTTACAAACAATTTAAATGATTTACTTAGTTCTGTTATCAGATTTAACTAATAATTGTTGAAGAAAGTTTTTTTTTAAATCTCTGAAGTAAAAAGTCACTGACTTATGAGGGAAATAGTACTTTACGGTAATTATAAGCTATCAGGCATTTTGTTTATAAAAGAAATACCAACTAATTCTATGAAAAATAACGTCTCACTGTTGATTTATTCTGTTTTATAAACGATAAATATAAAATTGAGTTACTTGATAACTTAGATTCATTCCAATGCATAATAAGACTATGTATATAATTAAGAAAATTGGAAGAGCCCACAATATTCTGTCAGTACGATGCAATATTTCAATACCTAAAATTATAATACTTATTTAGATATTTATTTGACAACATATGACAATATAAATTTTAGAACACTTACTTGTGTATCCTAAAAATGTTATGTACAAGTAATATCCTATAGCGACAAGCCATGTTGTGTTTCCAAGAAATCGTGATGTAAAACTATCACTACTTAGTAAACCTAAATAAAATGATTGCATTTAAAAGAGTCAATTCAATTAAATTTAGATATTAAGAATATTGTTCTTACTGGCATATAAACACATTGGGAGAATGTGTAATATTATCAATGGTGGAAAAAAGGCATTTAAATGAATATCAAATGCATATCCCCACTCGACGTCTTGGGTAGTATCATATCGCAAATAACGATTAGCTATATACCTGTAACAAAAACTTTTTAAACTTATAATTCGCTTCTTTAGAATATAGAATTAAAAAAATAATTCATCATCACGTACCATAATAAAGTAGCGATACATATGCCAACACCAATGCAATCAACAAATGTTGTATAGAAAAAGAATTTGATAAATTGAACGAAGCTCAGCCTTAAAACAATCGCAAAGATAATTGACGACAATAATAACCAAAATCCAAGTAATACTAAAAATGCTGGATCATCTCTTGCAAACTGGGATTTTGTTCCTAAAAATAAATTGTTCTTTCAGAGACAATTTACATTAAAAAGTATTACTGTTATATTTGGTTTTTTGCTCAAGTACTTACGCTTTCTATTTTGAAAATTTCTGTACACTTTTTGAGGTGAGACTAATAAATATATAATTTGCCATAGAGCAAACTCAAAGTCCATTTGTTCAAATTTCAAAAGTTTTCGTAAATACTTATAACATTTGGATGCAGCACTTGTGCAATTATGGCGATAGGTAACTGGCATGGGCATATTGGGTGAAGAATTGGAATAAAATAATGGAGAAGATGGTGAATTACATCGACTAATAGGTGGTGATGTGGAGTACTTCATTTTTTGTAATTACTAGGACCTGTAATGTAATAAATAATAAAAATCATTATGAATTTATGACATTTGTAACGTTGTTGTATATATTTTACTTACCTACAATATTAAAAATTAAAAAAAATTTTACAAATTACTAATAATTATGTTAATAATTTTAATATTTATCATTAAATATTTTAATTGGGACATATCATTCCCTAATATTTAGATACATGTAAACACTTAATTTTGTTCCTTCACTAAATGTTTTAATCAATAAATAAACATTAAAATTATAAAATCAAAACTTGAGGAACAACGTCAAAAGTCATTGACCACCAAATCTGTTTTTTTATGAAATATCACACAACTAATTACCACTTTATACCCTTTTTTCATTAGACTTGATGGATAAGAATGTTCATACTGATATTAGACAGTAAAATAACATTAGTTGGAGCAATAAATTAAAAAAAAAACTTACTCCAAAGTTTTTAATTTAACCAATGTGAAATACAATTTTATCAACATCAGCTGAGACAATTCATATGCTGATGTCATAGAACAGAGACACTAAATAGAAATCCAATCCAGAATTCATACACACTCCGATTTGCGTTCCAGTCAAAACATGTCGGTAATAATTTTCACGACCGGAATTTCTATTGATCCACGAGCAGGTGACGCTGTCATTCTCCGTCGGTACTCTACTGGTGCTCCGTCGGTATGACAGCACAGGAGTCATGTCATAGTAGTCTAGTTTTTTTTATCGCTTATCTATTATATAGTTTACCATCTTTTCATGGAAAAAATACTTGACGCTATATTTTTTACTCATCGTTTGTATGCTCTGTAGTCATCACGATTATTCTCTGAGTGTAGAATAAAAACAAATTGTTTAAAATAAAAAAATTATTTAGAACTAATTATCTATCATTATTATTAATTATTAATTGTTAATTATACAATTGCAATTAATTTACATTGTAGCTCAATTTCCTTTCCTTGAGGCTACAAGACTACACTCAGTCTCATGATATAATTTATTCGAATTTGGATTTAATTTTACACCTGTGTAACACAGGTGTAAAGTACACACCTTAGTATTTATTGACGACTTCGCCATATGATGCAATTGTCGTTCACATATTTTATTATTTATGTAATTTCCTATTGAATAACTTTCAATATCTATCTTGTAAAGTTCTTCAACCATAATCTTTGAAAATTGAAAGTAATAAAAGTAGCTGAGGTTCGTCACCAATGCACGTGGAATACTTACATCTTGGGTGGTCTCATTTTTAGCATACTGTTGTCGGTGAAAGAGCCGTTGTCCAACTACACATCAATTTTTTTATAAGAATTTGTATTTCTGACCACCAAAAATGATTCATTCTTTGTTATAACTAAGCTTTGTTATAACTTACATTTATATGATTTTTACAAAAAAATTTTGTTCACATCTGAATAGAAATGTGAAATATTCGAATAAAAATTTAGTTCAAATTTAAATTTTAGATCAAAACAAAAAAAAACACTTCTATTTAAAGCTGTTGACATATTATGTTTACAAAATTAAACTTTTATATTTTTATTTTAAGTTTAAAGTTAATTTTTTTTTTAAATATTATATAATATTTATCATTTTCAAAAAATGGAACTGGTCGAAGTTTGTACCCAAAAAAAATATAATTCACCTCCTTCTTATCCTCCCAATTTATCTTTACACACAAAAGTATTTAAATTAAATAGATTTTAATTCTAATAATGAAATAAATTGTTTTAATCTAATTTATACAATTAACTTTATCAAAGAACCAGACTCAAAAATGTATAAAAAAATACATCCAACCCCCTAAAGTATTATCATTTGCTCCAAAAAAAATCTATTGGCCTCCATCAGCTCGCTTCGATGCTCATACAACCTATTATGAATCTTTTCTAAAAAATAATACCCACTTTATCCGACCAAAAGCCTTCCGAACTCCAGAAAGTATAAATATATCTAACGCAAAGTTTGAAGATGGTACAACACATAAATTAGCTTATCAACCAGTTTGGGAAGTCGTTAAAGCCAAGCCCATTATACCATCACGCAGGTCAGATAATTCTTAGAAATTTTTCCAAATCAAATATTTCCGTTTATAAATTTTTTCATGTTTTTAATGAAGAAAGTTGGTGTCTCATGGACCCTTTGAAACGACAACAACCAATCGTGTTGACTTTATACCCAAGTACGTTGAAAAACCGGAAATAGTAATTCCATGTGGCAATATTCGAACTTCCAATGCACCTCTGGATGGTACTACAACTTCAGGGATTTCTTACATCCATCCAGGAATTTTCAAACCATCAGAAAGCTTTAAACCTCGTATAAAATATATCCCTCCTGAAGAACCAGCAGTCAAGGAAACTACACATAAGCTTAGCTATCAGCCATTACCAATTGGAGTAAGAGAAAAATATCCTTGGGCTGAAAAACACATTTATAAGTTAATATTGTAGTAAATTAGACTATCTTAAATAGCAATTAATTGTTTTAAATATTATGTAATATTTCAGGCCACCTGAAGCTTCAATAGAAGCTTCAACAACATATTCAGAAAACTTTATTGAAATCGATAAACCTCTGAAGGAGAAACCAATTATTCCATCTAGCAATACAGATTGGTGGCAAGGGAACAGAGAATTTATTGGAGTTTCCTGCTACAATCAAGACTTTATTCCTAGGCCACCTGAGCCAGTAATAATTAAAATTCCTGATGGAAATATAAGATTATCTGATAAAAAAATGGCTGATGAAACAACCAGCAAGGTCAAAACTTTAAATAATTTACTGTAACAATTGTGTAATAAGTAAATCAATTTTTCTTAACTGTTTAATACTTTGCTATTTCAGTTAAGTTATAGACCAGTTTTCGTTCAAAAAAGGCAATTAATTCGACCAATGTACAAAAGCAGGCTGATGGCCGAAGGTTCAATGCAATCGACAACAACCAATCGCATTGATTTTCAACCTAAAATGCGTGAAAAACCTGAAATTGTAATTCCTTCTGATAATATTCGTAATTCGAACAAACCCTTCGATGGTGTTACAACATCTGCTATGGCTTATATGAACCATGGGCCTTTTTTGCCTCCTCAAAGCTTCAAACCAACTCGAGAATATCACAAGTAAGATACTGAAACAATAAAAAAATTTCAATTTTGATATTTTATTGATTTCTTGAATGACATAAAAGATCTCCATCAAAACTGGAAGATGAAACAGTGAATAAATTATCATACAAACCTTGGGGTGTGAAACCTCGAGAAGATTATTCGTGGGCTAGAAAAGCTTCATACCAACCTCCCAAAGAACCAATGATTGGTGACTCAACTTATCATTCAAGTTTTGGTCCTCCAGGATATTTCATTGAAGAATGTGAAAATAAATAATAACTAAAATATTAAGATAAATGTGATGAAACATTAAATAGAAAAAATTTTGAATAATTAAAGTAAGTATTGAGTCAACACAATCATTTTTGAGCTTAAAATTTATTTCATTGCACGTACAAGGTTGTGCCATCTTACATTAATTGTACACTAAACAATTACAGTTATAATTATCAATATTAATGTTATTTTATTTTTAATATCATTATTATTGAAGATACAAATAATTAATTATTAAATCTTATTCTTAAGATAATTAACAATGGCCGGCAAATTTTTTCTTTTCCTTTAAATGATCTTATTATTAATAAAATAAATTCTAATCTTTGATTAAAATGATAACGTAACTTTCATTCTGAATTTAGTTAATCATAAATAGTTTATTCAGACCATCGCAAGTGATATATCATATAAATGATAAATATTTGAGAGATCAAAATAGTTTGTCTACTGATAAATCTATCATATTTTCTATTTAGGTAATTCTCTGTTAAATTTTCAACATTCATAAATTTTTTAAAATTATCTTTATTAAATATTTAATTGTAAAATGGACGTTGCTTTCATTCATTAGCGTTCTTCTTAGGCCTTTTATTATTTGTTCGAAATAAAATTTACAAAATAACATTCATTTCCTCAAACTCTCATTATTACAATTCTTTTTGTATGATTAAATATTTTTTCCTTGATTTAATTTTTTTTTATAGTTTTTCGATTTTGTAAGAATAGCCGAGTTTTAACAATTTTATTTTATTTTCTATATCACAAAAAGTGTCAATAAATTTCGAATAGTTCTAACGATTTTTAAAATTTTTATTTCCATCTAAGGCACATGATTGTCAAAAAATTTTTGTAATTTCTAACGTCAACATTTATTATTATTATTATTTTTGTAAATTACAGAAATCGTTATTGAATTGTTTTAAATTGATGAAGTCGAATGAAAGTCAAAAATAGTATCGAAATATTTTTTTTTCATAAACAATTATTACATAAAAATATAACATAAAACTTAGAAAAAAATTCCCAAACCTCTGTACAGTCAATTGAACAAAAAAAGATAAAAATATCTAATGAATAAAAAAACTTGGTTAAAAATGTTAATTAATAAAAACTATTACAATATAGACTGTATCTACACTTTGGGACAAAAAAATAAATGTATATAATTAACAAAAATTATTATTCTTTTCATAATTTTTTTTCTTTTATCTTCAAATATTTTTAACAAACGTCATGTTGCCTACAGCATAAAAATAATTCTAGGGAAAGTAATGAATCACTTAAAAAAAAGCCTCAGTTGCAATATCTTATCTCAAAAAATTGTTATAAACTTTTTAAAGTACGTGTAAAATATATTTTTTCTTATTTCAAACAACGATAAAAAGTATAAATATAAAAACAGCAGCACCAAGAGGTGATATTGCACTCAACAGAATATTGAAAAAACGAAGAAAAAAAGGAACAATAAAAATAATTTATTTCTTATCAAGTGACCATTACCATCCCTAATTCTTATAATGTAATCTCTTGTATTTTTAAAGGCTATTTTGGTTGTGCAACAATAATAAACCCACGTACATACCTATTGGGGCTTGTACGACTGCATAAAGTCAGTAAATCCGAAGCCATTGAGGTGATCCAAGCTGAGGTTCTCATCGATGGAAGGCAAATCACCATGGCCCATTAAATCCACATAATCCATGTCATTTGGTCGTCCGACACTTGACTGACCGAGTCCCGGAGCGTAGCTGTACGACAGAAACACAACCCCAATCACTGGCAATCCTCAAATATTATAAAAAAAAAAAAAAAGAGAAAAAACTTTTCAACAATCTATTTTTTAAATTAATTATTTGAGCCAGAATAGCCGATACAACACGCCCAAAGCTTTCAAAAACAACCACAAGATAAAAGAAGTATTTTATGGACGCGTGCAATATGTTAGTAAAATTTTTAGAAAAAATAGATTTTTTTTTGTTATTAAAGTTTGCAAGTCTACCCACCAATCTTTTTCATCACGATTGCCAGTTAATTATTTGGAGTTGCGTTCTGTATTAAAATTGTAAAATAACAAGCTTTTGCATGTGGTTGTACCGGCTTGCTCCAGGCCTTTGCCCATTTTAATTATTTTTTTTTGTTTTTTTTTTTTTTTCTAAATAATTGTTTGATAAAAACACTCAAAAACTTATCTTAAATTATACTATTACATACAATAAAGTTAATAATAAAGTGATTTTTCATTGCTACGAAGTACGTGTTATGATCGTTAAAAATTTCTTCCATTCGAGTTCTAAGTAAACAAATAGTCATATAAATGACTCTTTATGTTCAAATTTCAGATCTTCATACTGTTAATCCTAGAAGGATTTAAAAATATTTATTCGTGTTAGCTGCCCATTAATTAATTATTTGAATAGTGTCAACAAGTATCAGCTATTTGTTTTACATTTTTTGTTGAATGTCAAAGGCAATAATTATATAGCTCATTTAATATATAATAAAGCTAATCGAATAATAAGTGAGTGAATACATAATCAATTGATTAATATCATTGTGAAAACATTGACTTTGTAAAAAAATATTTTTATCAAAAAGAATAAATTTCATGATCAAACAGTTCGATTTTTCATGTATAAAAGATGTAAAAAATCTAGCTTATTGAGAATGAGATAAGAGAATACTGATATTGCATTAGAATGTTACAAAGACGCCAAGAATTCTATCTCAGTAAGTATCTCAGTAATCATTAAATAAACATGAAAATAATTTCCTTTTAAATAGTTTACCAATAAATTCTATCAATTTTGTTCTTAATTCTTAGCATCTTTAATATACAAATCGGTAGCCGGCAGTTGATTTACATCCACGGTACTGACCTAGACGCAACAGACGGAGTATCTCGAGTTACTGATGGATCTGGACTGTGTGCTTGAAACATTGTTGAAGGTGTTGCTGGATAGCTACCACCAGGACCACCTTGACTACCACCACTAACTCCGACAATTGATGAATGAGATGGTGTTTGACCTCCGACACATGGACCACCCCATCCAGGTACATGTGTTACCAATAAAGGTTTTACATATCCATTGTTTGTAGTTGGTTGATTTTCTATCAATATTAACCATTGTAAGTCTACTTCTTTGATTTTTCAATTTATTACAATAAAACTCACCTGCAAATGGTGTGTAATATCTAGAAAAAACTTGATCTTTTGGACGATCTGGATAAAGGTATAGTAGATGTTGGAGATCAGAAATCCTATCGGCCAGACTTCTAATTGCGAAATCCTTGCTCGTAAATGGTTGAAGCATAAAAACTTCAGTTTGATCTGCGTAAAAAATTTCCAATAAATTTAGATTAAATTCGATGAAAAAAAAAGTATTTTAATGGTTAATATGTTGAATTATTATTAAGATTAAAATGTGGTTTTACCTCCAACCCAAGCGATAGTAACTCCTCCAAGCTCCGAATCCGAAAACCGCATGAGGAAAGTTCCAGAAGGACAACTGGCAAGCATTTCTTCAGCTTGTTTTTTTCTGATAAATCCAAGAATACATCCGTCATTCCAGGGACTTTTTAAATGCTCTCTCGTGAGTTTCATCACAGCATAAAACCATTCCCAGAAGGTAAAATTTCTTTCAGGCAACGGTTCTTTACAAAATTGTGCCCAACTAAGAAGAACATTCGAATAATCTTGATCGCCACCACCGTGACCACCTCTAAAAACTTTTTCGGCAAGAAATCGCAAGCTATCTTCCATCAAAGGACGTCCGGTAGCAGATCTAAATTTAACATTCAAAGCTTCAGCTACTTGGCCCCAAGGAACTTTGTCTGGTACTGCAAAAGGCACTCTTCCAGGTTCTGCAAATGCATTATCCCACGTAACAGTAGCCCAAGCATGTGGTTCCTGATTTCCATGGACGATGACAACCACTGGAAGACTCAGTGTCCACACTTGAAACACCAGTTCTCCTCCACCAACGTTAAATTGTGATTGAAATAATAGAGAAAACTTCTCATCCATCACTGACTCAGTTCCTTTTTTTTCAGCTCTTTTGATCTTCTTTAATGCCATGTTACGGAAACTCACAGACAACTGTCGTGTCGCTTGATGATATTCCATAGTTCCAGTATTATTCAAAATGTCTCCACTAGCTTCACCACTCTTAGCCATTTTGTCACTCTTCAACATAGCATTTGCCTGTGCTTCACTAATGATACTGACCTTAACTACAGGTGGATTCATATGAACATTTAATTTGCCTCCGACGAGTAATCTAACTGTACTGGTAAATCGTGTGTTTGTCTTCATTACCTGAGGTGGTTGCTTTTCAATTATAAAGGTACTAGTAACTAACGAGCTTAATAATTGAGTAATTTGTGAATTTAAGGTGGGAAGAATATCCTGAACACCTGGAGGATCAAGAGCTAATTTTAATTTCAGCCTTTCCGCTTCTTTAATTTGTTGACGATTTAACCAAATTAACTCTGCCAAACTTTCACACCATTCTTGGATAGCATCTAAATTACTATTAAATGGAGCTCCATTTCCAGCAAGTTGTTGATGTCTCTTCCACCTGATTAATTCATCGTCTAAAACTCGCGACTGTAAGCTATTTAGTCTGCTAATCGTGTCCTTCAACTTGTCTGCAAGTGTCAATCGAAGCTGCATTAAATTAGCGACTTTGTGATTGAGTAATTGTTCTTGTTGATCTTTCTGCCGGCGAATTTTTTTCTCAGCTTCAATACTTTGTTGACTCTGAGGATGAGTAGCTAATTGTTGAAGATGGGCATTGAGTTTTGTACATTCATGATAACTGATAGCAAATGCTTCTTGTTCTTGCTCCATTTTCCTCAGATCTTCTCCAGTTTCTTGAGTTCTTCGACGAAGAGCATCTAATTGTTGGTCTATCTCGGGTACAGCATCTCCAACCATCAAACCAACCCTTCCATGCGTTATACTCATCAATGTTCCTCCAAGATTTTCTGCCTGTGCTACCAACTTCATTTCTGTACCAAGACAATGACGAATTATTCGAAAAAGTGTCCCAGGATTTGAACTATATCGTTGTCTGAATGTTTTAGCAGCCTCTAATAATTTTAGCTTTGTCAAAAAAAGGTCCTCTGTGTTCAATGATGCAGCTTTTGTTTCTAATTCTTGGATCAGTGAAGCAACTAAATTAGTTATGTATTGTTCATATTGAGGATTATCTGGTTCAATATCAGTCCACATTTTTTCTTCAATCCATGATGATAAAAAGTGACGTACTTCAATAGGAAAGTGTTCACCATAGACAGATCTTATTTGCTCAAGAGCCTGCTGGGGCAATTGCTGAGCTTTTGTCCACAGCGCCATGGTAAATAGACTTTTCAATCCAGGACCTAAAATAAAATAATTGATTATTAATTTAAAATTTCTACTCCCTCTTTCTCTCTTTAACTTACAAATTTAAAAATATCTCATGACCTTCGCGAGTATTAAAAATTCATTTTTAACATCAGGACATGATGAATCTTCGTAGCGAATTTATTTATTTAACGTTTAATTAAACAATCAAACAACAAAATGGAATATATACTTCTATATTCCGGCACAAAAAAGGGGGATTTCGTGGAATATAAGAAAAACGATTATTATAAAGAATGTGCAGAGATAGATCCTTCAGCGTCCTCAGAAATAAAATCCTGACGTGCAAAGACGCGTGACGTACACGATAACGCGTAGCAAACAGATAAGACGCGGGGTAAGGAGACTAATTCTTAACAATATATATATGCGAATAGAAGTAGTGATGAATGGTAACCTTCATAATAAAACTTACCTCAACGAGTCCCGCTAAACGGGACCAAAACTGGCGGGAGACTGCGTCAATTATTCAACAAGCTTTCTATCCCTTTACAACAAATTTAATCCTTACTTTATTACGACTGTACGATTGTAGATTCACACTCTTAGTACTTGTTTTTTTTTACGCTTTTTTCGTCGCCTGCTCGGTCAACCCGTTCTTGCTCGGACGAGCTACCGCGGCGGAGTGCGCGGCGATCGAGGAATTCTGAGAATTCTGTACCGTAAGTGTCGTCTTTCACGGGCAAATGGTGGGAGTTATGATCACGTGATCCATCCCCAAGCATAAGGACGCATGCGCTCGCAAAATTACGCAGAGGCATGGAAAGTTTCAGCAGAAAAGCGCCTCTATCGTTTAAACTTTCGAATCAACACCTGAATGCTTGAAAAGAGAAGAAAAATGGAGGGAGCACAAAAAGTAAAATAATTATATTTATAGAAAGGGACAGGTATAAATAATAAAAGCATGTTATAAATAACTAGTCATTAAATAGTAATTATAAGTCTCACTTTCTTCAATAAACGAAATATTATTTGTACATTGATTTTTAAATTGGTCCTTTGTTATCATACCATCAACAAAAAGGACAATAGTCAGGTATACGGATAAGGATTAACATTGAACTTAAATATTTATGAGAAGATTATTACAAAACCTTACTTTTACAATGAGGATTATTGAAATGTTCAGTGTGCAATTTTAAAATCCAATTTGTAGATTTTCCAAAAAATTATTATATTTCTTGTTAGTTTCTCCTGAAAAACAAACCGCTTGTTGTCTAAATTACTACCTTCAGTACTATTAGTGATCATTATCTTCGTGCGAAATAAACCAGTAAAGTCAAGTATTGATATTTTCCCTCTACACAAAAATATATATATTTGTTGTTGTAAATGTATTAATTATAAAATTTATTATAACCCATAAAAATGATAATTATATAATGGTATTGTTTTCCGAATAAAACAATAATTATTTTTTAAAAATAAATGATATATTTGGTGTGGAAAGTCAATATAATCAATAAAATCAAAGAGATTAAAATTTCACTGTATACAATAATAGGAAAATTATCTTTTAATGATTTTATTTGACCTTATTTTTTAGTTGGAAAAAAGCTTTCTAATTACAAAAAATAATGATAAGAATTAAAAACATTTGTCTGCATTTTAACAGTATACATTTGTTGTATTCTAACATGAATACATTAAAAAATAATTTAACAAAATTTTTATCAAAATTATTAATTAACATTTTTAGCGTTATTTATAGATACTTCGTTAATCACATAATTAAATATATCTATATAAAATCCATTAAAAATCATCAATATAAAAAATATTATATACAATTTATAAAATAGATTATGAAATAGATAATATATATTGTCATGTTTCTCATATATAAACTATTTTACAGTGTAACAAATAACATAAAACGTAGGAAAGTTAGATTAAATAATAATAAAAATGTTAAATTTAATAATTTAATAATAAAAAAATACTTCAAAAATAGTCTTATGTCTTGGTCATGGAACGTATACTTTATTTAATATAAGAGGCGGGAAGATCAAAAAAAAAGCACCAATGCAGTACGTCGTATTGCTTCCAATGCTCCAATATGCTATGAAAGAAGAAAAGATCAGAATAATAATAGGAATTAATGTGGCATAGTAAAAAAAACTATTTACATTACCTATCGAAGCAATAATAGGTCCACAGCTGCGTGCCAATGATCCTAGTGACCTAAATATCCCTGTAATTGTTCCTTTTTGATTTTCTGGCCCAATACGTGTTACCAGGGTCATCATACACGTGACAGCCATGGCCGTAGCTGTAACAAATAAAAAGAGATTTTTTTCTTATTTGGAAAAATTCAATAAAGGAATCAGAAGAAAAAAAAAGTAACTTCACTTACAAATTGAAAAAATAATTACTCCAAAGTACAGTGAAGTTACATTGCTAGCTATTCCAATGAAGATAAAGGCTGGTACCACAAGCCAAAGACCCTGATAATGATAAATATTACGAAATGATGATTTCATGAATTAAAAAAAGTTACTGATTGTCTGATGAATCAGTTATTTAATATAATTCAAACTGAACTCTATTGTTTAATTTACCAATTCGGCAGTGAATTTTGTTCTGTCAGCAGGAATGCGACGAACAAAGCAGCCCTGTAGAATTGCCATTGTCAAACCAATAACTAAAAACATATATCCCTGTTGCATACTTGTAAAGTGGAACGTATGATGCGTTAAAAATGTTAGAGTAAACTCTAGACCACTGTAGATAAATAAATAAAGGAAATACGAATATCCTAATGTTCTTAAACTCTTCAATTCTGAAAGAAAAAAAAAATTCAGTCGAAAACCAACTTCTTATTCATATGTTTTATTTATTTGATGCTTTTCTAAATTTATTTATTTTTTTTCTCTTCGTAGAATAGAGGGTGGATTACAAACCTTGTGAAGTTAGGCCAGTGACTCCATTGAATTGGAATAAATCCAAGGGATTGATGTAAATCATTGCACCGGAAATGCCCCTAGCAAGAGACTTGGCACGTAGATGTACAGGTAAAGTTTCCTCAAGACAGTACATTACGTAAAATAAATCACTCAGTGCTAAGAAAAGAGCAAAGAGAGCTGGATATATGTACCAGAATTCTTCTTTTTCATTGTTAGAAATCTTGGAAAAAATCACTCCTATCATTGGACCCACAATGAATCCTATTGAAAATGCTATTCCAACAAGAGCCTAAAACATTTTTAAGTACTCAACACCACTCAATTTTTTTTTTTAAATTGAAATAAAATAAAACAACAACTAATATTTAGAATTCATTCAAAATTTTTTAACATTTTTTATATTGAACTTCTTTTTCAACTATGACTCATCATATTCAATTTTGTATTTTATTTTTCCAATTTTTTCTGCCAATGTATTTTTTTTTTCTTTTTTTACACACTTCATCGATTCCTCCGGCTTTTTGAATCTCGGTTACATTGTCTGCATTCAAAATATCCTGAGTTCATAATATCCTGAATAAAAAAATGTTCTTTGTTGCGAAATATTCTCTTGTCATCAATTGTCGATTTCAATAATTTATTCATTTGCTCATCTATTATATTAGTTTGAGATTGATGATGATTATTGTCCAATATTTTATTATCAATTATAATAAAGCATTAATTTTTGAATTCTTCTTATTTAATCAATTTTTATCATTCATTTTAATTGTAATGCTCAATTTTTTAATTAAAAATAGATATATTACAATGTTTTGTTTGAGATATGATGAGCTTAAAATACTTTTACCGAATATTTGATGGGAGATTCAGAAGGCCGGATGTTGCTTTATCATACTCCGAAGACAACATGAAAATATTTAGTACATTTTTATCATCTCTCTCGTAACTCTGACCTCGACTTACTATTTAGAAAGTCAAGGTCATGGATTTCACAATGATATTTGACATGTGAAAACATTTATGTGATAACAAATATTGAAAAAGCATTCATTATGTTAAATAATTTTGAATGTAATTCATCATACAAAGAAAATGTTTCCTATAAAAAAATAATAATTACCATAGACTTCCCTCGAGTTTTAGGGGTAGTAACATCAGTAATTATAGCCATAGACAAACTGATATTTCCCTTGCTTATTCCACCGAAAAATCTAGCAATCACAAAGATTGCAAAATTCTGTGAAACAGCCCATAATAGATATGAAAATGCGACACCCGATAAGCATAATATCATCAGAGGTTTCCTTCCGTAAATATCTGACAAAGCACCAATGATAGGCATTCCCAAGAACTGTAAAAATGAATACATTGATCCCAAAAACCCTGAAAAAGAAAATAATAATTTTTATGATTTTTAATTCATTCACATATACGCACTGTCAATACAACCCACACAAAACGCAACTGTTTAATGATCATTAGGTCTTCAGGTAATTTTTTATTTCTTAACAAATGTCTTTTTTTTCAAAGAAATCTATACTTTTTTGTCAACCTAATAAACTTTTGTTGAATAATTTATTCTTTAGTGAATTGCGCAATGTATAAGTTAATTTTTTGGTATAAAAGAAATTTTTCAATAGACATTACCATCTAACAAAATAATCATTGATACAGACAGTCACGTTAAATACTGGGAATTAGTCAATAAAATATAAAATGAAAAGTCTTACCTCCAAATAAAACAGAACTAAATCGTTCAGGAGCATTAAGCGTTACTTGTAAGGTTTTTACATGATTTAATATCCAAGAATATAATCCTTTGCCTTGATCAACTTCTTTATAATAATCTAAAAGGGCTGGTAAAAGCGGCAGAATCATTGTAAAAGCTAACAAGTCTAAGATTAATGATCGAAAAACGATTGATACTACTTTTGATTCATTTTCCGAACTTGTGCAATTTTTCTTCTCCTTCTTAAATTTTTCCTTAGACACTATTGTCGTTGTTCTTTGTTTTATTTCCATGATGATAAAATAAACAATGACTCCAAAAATTGTTTGCTATGAATATAAGTATTCTTCGATTGATGTATCTATCCTATTACTTCAGCTTTTCATTGTTATGATAAAGTAGATAGTAAAATAAATGATAAGACTATAAACATTTGCAAGTCTTGTTTATAATACAGATAAATATTTAATACTTCTTGTTTTATTTATAACTCGTGGACCCCATATTGTACAACAAATTTCTTAACTTTAGTTACTTTCTTATTGATCACAGATTGGTTTCACTGTTAATTAAATATTATTAATAAACCAATTTCATTAATTGAAAATTTATATAGAAAATTCGTTACTTTTTAAGTTATCTGATTAATTGAAAATTTTATGAAAGTATCACTCTTAATATCCGGTAATTTGTCTACAAGGATATGTGACTCCTTGTAAGTGTTCACGTTTGTTGAAGCACTTTCTTAAACCTTTTCTTTTCATTTTACTTCTCGTACTTTTATTTTATACTACTCGAATCTTTCTTTTTGCTCCAGAAAAAGTGAAAGGTATAACCTCTTTTTGTATATAACGGCATTCTCATCTCTAAAAATGACAGATTCTATTTTCCGTCAACATTTTGGATGATAAAAAAGTGATTGTTGTGTTGATAAAGTAGATTTTTTTCAAACCGACTGTCATTACATTTAAATGAAAACTACATTACCGACTGATGGAAAAATTCGAGTTTTCTATCAATAAGATACGAATTTTTGAAATCAGTGAAGAATAAATATTCTTTTGTTGAAAATAATTATATGACGTACAGAAAAATGATAATTAATGGTGTAGAAAAAAATAAATGTTTCATTGTTGAGATTCTTTAAAACTAGAAAATGTTTAATAGTCACATAAAATGGATGTTTTTTTTTCACGAACTCTACTGTGTGTAAACTGGATCATTGTTTTTATTTACCAGTGAAGCGAAAAATAGGCGTTCTTATGGCGCACCCACGAACATTACGTGTGCCTCAACTTCCGGCGGCGCCTGATGTTCTTTAGGGTCACATATATTTACAAATACACATAAACATATATCTGTACATAAAAATTTTACCATGTACAGTGTTGCGCGCGCAAAAGAAAGACCCACTTCCTCGATGGACAAAGATCTTTTCAAACTCGTCCCAAACTGTAACGCCGGTTGCTAAAAACGTGCTGCAACTTAATACCCCCTCAGGTCGAATCTCTTCTGATATATCTGTAACGCCCCGAAAATCTATGCTTTTATGTTATTCCAACGTATCTAGGGCGAGTTTTGAAAAGAATAAAAAAGGATTCAACTGTGATGGATGAGTAAAAAATGAAATGAAATTATTATTAATTTAAATTGTTGATAATAATTATAATAATAACATTAAATAAATAATATAGAGGAGACAGTTGGCAGCCGAATGTGGTAAATTGTCGTTTAGAAAACATCAAGAAATGTTCTGAACAACGTACACATTCTCCATGAGATCCATTAAGGCAGGTGTGGCCCCAGAAGAGGGTCCTCCTGGACTTTTCGTATTGCGTTGTAGTTAAAATTTGAGCAAGGAAGCGAGACTGGATCGCTTGCCATCTGGGACTTTGTACTTTACTTGCTATCGTGCAAGAATTTTTTGTGCATCTTTGTACTCTAACGTCAATAGGGCCAGCTTGAAGGCGAAAAGACTTTTACTTTGGCTATGTTTGATTGATAGAATCACGTCTTTAGTCTTTTCGAACAATCATTCATTACTTTTGACAGCATTTAAAACAATCTATTTTAATTAATTACAGTATTGTTCAATGTATTGACAATTTAACTTCACTTCATGAACATAATAAGTAAATTTGTAAATAAAACATTTAATTGTATCATTAAATATAATAAATCATCTGTAGGAAGAAAATAATTCTTAGATATTAATACTTTCAAGTTCATTGAAAATATCAACAATCATTAATTACTTTTTTGTATTAACAATAAAGTAATTTCGACTAAAGTTAATAGTGTATTTGTGAGAGTCTGGACTGTGTTTATTCAAGAAAATTTTGATTTATTGATGTTCCTGAAAGTAATAATGCATCAATGATTTATATATTGGTTAAATTATTTCTTAATTACCAACAATTTACAAAATTTATTGATCGGTCACTTTTGACAACAATTGTAAATAAAATAATTATTAAACTGACAAAGTTTGATAAATGAACTATATATAGACTGCAAAGTTGCAGGTATATATACTCTGTCTACCTACTTCTAACAAAGAATAATTGATAGAAGATCTTTTTCTGTAAATTTGTTTGTCATTTTATTTGATTTTCTTTGTAAAATACCATAATTTACTTATGAAAGTATATTGTGAAAAGCAGGTGGTTTTGTTAAGCTGTTATTTTACCTTATTAAATAAACCAAAGAAAAATTAACTTGAATAAATGTATTTTCTCTTTGCTGTTGATTGAAAAAAATGATAATTTAGAGATCAAGAGTATAAATCAAGATTTTAAGTAAACATGTAAATTAATAACAAGTTTAAAAAAATATTTTTTATTAATTATTGAGCGTGGGAATGAGATTTAGAGATTTGTATTTATTAAATATAAATAATTTATGACATAATTAATAAAAACATTCGGGTTTGAAGTAAATTGATATATTTTTACGGTAATAATGAACTATTTATAAATTTAAACTCTAAAAGACCGTGACCACGTGTTTACATTTTCCCTCACTATGTATTTAGATAAATTTTTTGTACAAGTGTAACTTGAAATAGGTCGTTGAGTGTTTAGAAAAGATTTTGAAAACTCTTGTAGCATTAGAATATGATTATATTATGTTGAACAATAAAATTTTTGACCAAGTGGCATCTTTATTACTCAATTTAAAGGTAATGGGAATACTTAGAAAAATGAACAATGCTAGTAGTGTGCTCGAAAGGTGTCGATAATTGAGCTCTTCACTCCATGTTACAATTTTAAAATAATATACACTCGTAGATTCGTCTCTTTGTCCTATAAGTTGGTACGACCACCTGTACTAAAAGACCATGCTTTTTCCCCTTCATGTTCATGAACAGTAAAAGTCGACCAGGTGTCCATAGACTTTAAAAAGTAACTTGTATTTTAGTTGTTTATTGAGGGTGGTAATATTTGTTAAATTTCCAAGTAATATACAGCTATTTGAGTATATGCAAATAAACTCAAGGTTCTTCAGTGATCGGTTAATCTGCATACCACGAACACAACCGCGTAATAAGCTAAATGGTAGTACCCGCTGAGAAAAAGAAGAAAACACAAAGCCGTGGAAAAATCTGAGGCTTCCGGGAAGTATTGGAGATGAAGGAACGAGAAAATCCGATGACAATAGGACAAAGGGAGAATTTTTGACAGTACCAAGCCGGCTGTTAGGTACTTTAGGTTGAACGTTGAAAAAAAGAGGCACGTTATGGAAAGAAGAGGATAGTAAACAAGGAGCTGTAAACATACCAGTCAACCCATCAGGATTTTTAATGTCCCACCAACCCCGCGGTAGTCGAACAGGAGGCAGGATTTCAGGGACAAGCGGGGTAGATGGTAGTAAAGAGGCTGCAGAAACTCACCACCGGGCGATGGCAATAAGCATGGTGGCCATCAGCGCACGCGCGGACTCGCAACCGACAGCAGATGCGCTCTCTTAGCTCAGCAGCTGTCCTCCTACAAGTGGTTCTCAATCTCCATCTCTTTTTTCTTTCTACGACCCTTCTGCCTTTTCTCACTGCGAATTATCAACATGTCCTAATTTTATTTAGATATATACGAATATTTTTTAAGGTATGTATCGATTAGAATTAAATAATATTTTATTCATGAATCATCATCATTATTGTCATCCTGAGAAAGTCATATTTATCCGGCTATTTCATCATTTGATAAATTGTTTATTTTTTTCTCTGTGTGTGTATTAAACGATATTTAGTCGTAATCTAAATATTTTCTTTGTTCTATTCAGTGGCGATGGGATCGATAATCGAGCGGAAACGAAGAGGAAAAAAAGGTTCCCTACTAAATACTTTAGTAAATTTGAGAGAAAGACAAAGAATATTATTTGGAATTAAGACGAAAACACGTGAGTGAATGAGAATCAAAACCAATAAATTTAGATAAAGTTATATCCTGATATAAATGTACTGTTCAATTGAAATTATTATTTCTCCCCTTGAGGTGTTGGGGATTGTGAAAAATAAGTGAAAAGAAGAACGTTACATGTTGGCAATAAGTTGTATGGAAGAAGAATTTGATCAAAACTTTAATTATTATAGTGTCGTTGGAAAAATCCAACGGTCGTCTAAATTTATACCTGCGTGGCAGTGAGATTTTATAAGAACAAGGATAAAAATCCAGGACAGCTGATACAATTTTTGGCGGGCTCTCAGGATGCCGGAGGTGCCTCGTGCCATGAAGAGCATGACGTGGAGCGTTACAAAGCAAAACCGAGGGGAGAAAACACGTGGTGGGGAAATGAGAAACAGTTGAGAGAAAGAAAGAGGGTTGAATTTCTAACACAAAGAGTGAGAGAGAGTCGGAAAGCCAAAGGGAAAAGGGAGTCCTGAAGGACCGTTGTGTTGTATTGCTGTTAAATAAGAATAACGTCTCCCCACTCTCGTCACTTGAGACCCAACCATGGGTCACTATATAGTCCGGGAAGGCTTTCATTCCCCCGGACCCAAAAGGAATAAAGAGGCGAGCCACCTGGCCGCTGCCAGCAGTTTGCTCGAGAACGTACTACACATCAGATGTTCCTCGTCGTTGTGTTCGGCGTAGAAGAGATAAAGAAAAGTTTTTGTGTTGTGAAGTGAAGTTTTTTCAAACGCCGTGACTGTGCTAATATAACACGAGAGAATATTATATAAAAATAAGTAAAAGGATACTTATTTCGAAAGGATTTTATTGAAAAACTTTGGCACGATTCAATCGTATTCTGTTCATGTGATTGTATATTAGAATAGAGATAAATGACGACGTTCTTATGGTATATTCAAATGAAAAATTAGTTAGGTCGTTATAAACTAGAGGAAACACGTGACCTCGAACGATAATTCGTGATTCAGAGCAGATGAGCTCTCTGATTTGGAGACTGACCGCCAAGGCCACGTCGGAGAGCCACTTTAGTTTCTAAAGGCGAGAGCCAATCACTTTCTATCCACGTGGTGATTATAGTTTTTTATGTTAGACCTTAAAAACTTGGACAAAACTACTGAGATGTATATTCTCTGCCGGAAAGAGTATCAAAACAATTGCATCAAAGATAGGTCGAGATATGTGACAATATTTCTTTGTTTTTCATTAATATTGCACTTGTCCCGGCCTATCGTAATGCATTTTTCTCATCTTAGGTGTACCGTTATTTATTTATATGTACTTATACATTCATTATTAATATTATTATTTACTTGTTTTATATTTATTTCAGGTTTTTACAATTATCCGACCTAACGGCAGGTGGAGATGAGTGCATTATTTGTAATTTTTCATATCATATTGCACTCGTCCCGGCCTGCTGAAATGTCGTATTATCAACGTGTGTTATATATATAATTTTCAAGTTATAACAAAGAAAATTATGTTGATATTATATACAGATATATATATATTTTTTTTCGAATAAACTTCAATTGAATGTATTTTTTTTCAAGGTTTGTTTCATCACCTTTTTGTTTCCTTTTCATACATTTCCAGGCAATGTAATCAATGAGATGAGTATAATATTTTTAGTCATTCTCATACAAAACCTGAAAATTAAATAACTTGGAACTTGGTCGAACAAAGGAAGAGAACAAAAATGGCGGGAAAGACGTTTCAATCAAGGGTGAAAACACAATAAAGTGTGTAAGCCTGTGGAAAATAATAAAATCCTGTTTTGTATTCATGTGGTCTGCAAGAATCGAGTGCAGTTGTTGTAAGTCCATGGATCCCCTTGAGAGTCCCACGGTTTTAGGAGAATAAAACACCTGGTTTCTTTCTCTCACTCTTTTCTTTTGCCCTGAAACTACTCAACTCTCGATCTTGAAGACACAAATACATTTAAAAAGTAGAAGAACTTTAAATGAGGAACAGACCCTCCGAACTTGATCCTTATAAATTTTATTCACTTCTTTATTATATAGTAAAAAGGGGTTTTATCCCTTCCCAACCCCTCGTTTATCCCCCTCTTTTTTTCTCGTATTCTTGATCCCTTGCCCTCCATTCATATGCTAAACAATAAATGCGTCGCGAGAAATGAATCCCTATCTCGTTCCAACTGCTTACACTCGATTGAAAAGGAAAAAATCTTTATTTCTTTTTTTAATCAAAGTGGAAGACATTTTTTACATCAAATTATAACGACTCTGTATTTATAACTAGCGTGTTAAACTTGTTCTTTTTTTTTTCTTCAAATCTTACGTTACTTATTCAATTTAGAAAATACGTTATAATTTATATTACGTCGTAACTACGACCTTTCTCTTTGTTGTCGGTGGTTCGAAGGGTGACAAAGTTTCCCCTGTTTTGTAACGACGCACATTGCTTCTTCGATTTGACCTGCTTAACGATTTAGGCAGGTGATGATGCTACTTTATGCAACATTTTATATGTAGTTTTAAACACGTTTAGAATCTAGTTCAGTACAACCACTTGTAGTGCATATTAGAATAATATTTCTTTTGATATTTATTATTAACATTTTTTTTTATCATAGTCTTTTATACTTGTCTTTTTCACACGAAGCTTTCATCATCGAACATTTATATCTTTTTTTTATTTGTCAAATAAATCAATGTGTGGTTCATTAATTCCTCTCTTTCTTCTCTAACAAATAGGTGTGCCTACTTAGATACAATGTTAACATTTACCCTTCCTCTTTTTCCAGTGTGATTTTTATTTATTCGAATTATTCTATACGTAAGTAGAGCGAAAAAAAGGTAATTTGAAATACTTTGAATTAGTGATTTTTTAAAAACTTTGTCATATTTTTTCTTTGTTTAGAATTAAGATGAGGAAACAAAGGAAAACTATTTTTGGGTTGATGTTTTGTATTTTAACGATCATTCAAGGATAATGAATTCAATATTTTGAAATAATTCTGTAAAACGATCGTTATTCGAAGGTTTTATTTAGAAGATTGCGATTTATTTTCGATAGATTACGCGGAACAAAGATGCATATCTATATGAGAATACCTTGGTCAATCATATGCAGTAAATGACCTCCATACTACGACAAACTTTTTTCAGTGTTATATTTTATTATGTTAATTAGTTTATGAAATGTAGATGTTTTTATTTCGTACATTATTCAATTAATCATGAATAATTTAATTTATTTCCAAACACACACACATTTATTCATTTTTATCAATAATCGGCCAAGTAGATTTCTTCATTTTCTTTTTTGGTAATGTAAAATTTATTATCTCATTATTTAAATAATAAAATATATACAATTTTATAAGAAAAAATTAACAAAAAAAAATATTTTAAACAGATATTTAATTACATAATATAATTTACCATTTTTAGCATAAAATAAAATATCGACTTCTGAACTTAATATATAATATATTGTATAATAATATAATAAATATTTTTGTTAGGCATGTAAATACAATTAATGAGTATAAATAATTGTTATTTGATTTACATTGAAATAATATTTTTGTATATAATTTTAACTTATGTAAAAAGTTTAAAGTCCCTCGAATGGAAAATTAAACTTTTCGCGAAAGTACGGTAAAAAAAAATTCAAAAAATAAATTACTAACCCATCCAAAAACTACATGTAACTCTTTTAGAATAAAGATCTGAGATAGACAAGTTATACACAATTTATATTATAATATTTACCAACTATGGTAATTTACAATACATCTACATTACGCTTCATACGATTTCTGTTGTGATTTTTTCGTTGAGTAGAAATGATTTAAAGCACTAATGTTTATATTTTTTTGCGAAGCAATGAACTAAATTATCTTTAGCTTAATCATTTCACTATAAACATTTACATATAGATATGAATATATGTATAATGATAATAACGATATCTTTTAATATACTTGATAAATGCCAGTGTTGCCAGAGCTTTAAATATTCCCGTCAATTGATCAGTCTCAAGAAGTTTTCAAGTCTCACATAAAATATAATCACTACAACATTCGTGCATTTTCTCGTTTTTTTTTCAATAGGTTTTGTTAATTTCGCTACTTCTATTTAAAACTTTGAGATAAATCGATTAGAACGAAATCTACACGTAGTAAAATATGTGATTATGACGTATGAAGAAGACTTTTCATTGAATCTCTAGTCTACAAGGCGCTTTGAGGCGTAGTTTCTTTTTAGTATTATTTTACGAATATTTTGTTCGTGGCTGACTAGAGCACACACTAAAATTATTTCTATCAATTTTAAGTTTAATAAATTTCCAATCAGATTGAAGACGAAATTTTTATACTTACAATTGATAAGATAGTTTTAACTTTGAGTTTCACCGATGTATTTAAATAAATAAATACCTAAGAATTCACGTTATTAATTCGAGAAATATTGTTTTGTCTTTGGCTATTTTTTGATTAAGGATCGCCAAGGTTTGTGCAGGATAAGGATTGTATGTTACCTTGTAATGCGTGACAAGGATAGAAAGACTATTGGTCTCAACATTGTAAAGGGTCAATAAAGGTAATTTTGTCTTGGAAAAACAGCTCTTGCGGCTTTCTCTTGAGGATCTAGCTGATTTCTATAACGTCTTGCCAAAAAAGCTGCAATTACCTGAAAATGATTATTACTTAAAATTTATTCTATAAAGAATATAAATTTGTAATTATTTGTTGGTCGTAAGTCAAGTATTAATAAAGAGGATCAATATGATTAGTGTGAGTTAAGTGTGGTGTGAAAGTGAGTAAGACCACCCACCATCTATTTAAGGTTTCGTGCGAGGTGACAGGGGACATGGCGATGATGTTAGACTAAAGAAAAGCACTAGGATTAGCTCTTGGATCTTTCTGGTTCCTGTAGCGCACTGTCAACCAAACACCAACGAACTGGAAATGTCATATGTTACATAGGTTAATAATTAATCGAACTATGAATTAATTATATTATCCATTAGACAAACTGTTAATAAGTTACCCAAGCTATTAATATCACTACATATTGATAATTGTATCTATTTTCTATTATTTGACTTACCTCAGTAAAACTAAAGAATAAACCAATTCCTCCACATAATTTAAATGCATGATCAATTGTTGATTGAAGTTTATCCATACAAGGTTCACACCGACATGCTACAGAATCTCCATAATTCGCACGGCAGCAAATTGTCTGCAACCATTTACCATCAGTTTATTAACCAGAAATGACTAATGATTCATTAAGTAATTGCTTTCTGATCTGAATTAAATGACATTTTAAAATTCATAATAATCAAAGTCACCTTAATTTAATATAATCGCTATCAAGCAAATGGGTTATTATTAAAAGTGGGTTTCAATTAAGAAGTATTTTCTCAATGAATGATAGCTCTTATTTAAACGAAATAATTAATTATTTAATCATTCGAGTAAACACTTACGGTAACAGCCTCACATGAAGGTTGAACTGGATCTGAATCAGTTCCATTAAACCCACAACAGTTGAAGGTTTCTTGAACTTTGGCTTTTAAGTCCAAACCCACATGCTTCCATCCCTAGAAAATCAATGAACAAAAATCAGTCGACCGTTTATCAATGAAAATTAATTATTCATTCATAAGTATAAAAATAAAACTTACTTCTTCAGCCAATTGCTCTTGTTGTTCAGTATTGACAGCCAGACAAGCACAAGCGATGCTAAATTGAACCAAGAATAACAGGAAAAGAATGAGCATGTACTAAATTATCCAATAAGAAACTTTATAGCTGAATAACTATTCTGTTAATTAGAAAAAAAAAACTTCTATGATAGATGATTAATAAATAATAAATATCAGTTTAATTATTTTTGTTTGCATGATTTATTCATTTAAAAGGATACGAAAAACAAAAGCACTTGATGATGCTTTACAGCTCCAATTAGTCCTAATATTGATATTAAAATCAGCAATACTCCACATGCCAAAATGCCACCAATTATTGGTAAATTGGTTACCAATGCTGAAGCTCTTCCATAAACCGCGACTCCAATTAATATAAATGCTACTACCTGAAATACATCGTGATTGTTTTATCATTCTAATCTTGATTTAATCCACAAGTGGTAGTGATAATACAAAAATTATTTCATCAATCTAAATATAATAACCAAGAAACACTTACAATATAAAGAATATTCAGTGCTGTCAAAGCATTTTTAGAGCACGTAAATCCACCACACATTTTCCCAGTGTTTGTTCTTTTTGTGTTTTTACAAATCTGCAATATTTCAGCTACTTAATAGCTATTGTTATTAAATTATTTCTAGGATAATCATGGAAATGATAAGTTCACTGACAGCTATTCTCTGAATTGATTTAGTAGAAAATATAATAATTTGTTTTAGCTTATTATTATTTTATTTATAGACGCAGCTTACCTTCAGTACTGTCGCGTTGCTACTGATCTGACCCCTCAGCCATAGGATCGATATCTCGAATGGGGAGGCTGTACCACAAAGAGCATGCTCAAGATTTTAGCGCGATAAATTTGAATTTTCAAAGATGTTTTCAAGTAAAGACATTTTCTTTATCACTATTAAACTTCTAATGAAGTTTAATAAAATTTAATATAAAAATAAATATTATCTGTACTAAAAATAATTCAATTCTTATTTAATTCCTAATTACAATGGATTTTTCATATATGTATAAATAGTCATTCAAAAGTTTTCCTATTTGTAATGAGATTTTTTAATTTCTAATAATCTTATAAGCTTAGAATATTGATTTATTATACTGTTGAAGATATTGTCATAAACGTTTGTCAAACACGTAAGTAAAATTAAAATAGTGCACCATATAAATTACACGGTAGACGTTATCTTTACTGATAAAAATATCGATATCTAAACATTGGCCGAAACTTCCGTAGATAAACTCAAAATTAAATATTCAGTTTATCCAATCATGCATAAGAATTATTATTTTTGTTAATAAAATGAGAGTTGAAGCCCCTTAAGAATAATGTATCTTTTAAAGAGGTTAAAAAGTGAAATAATCAAGTAGTAGATTAAATTGCATTTCTACGAGATGGTTTATTGATCAAATTGTCTGAATAAAGTCACGTAATGATATTTTGGCTTCTAGAAAGAACGAATTCATTCAAAGCATGTTGACTAATAACTTTGGTAGTAAATTTGATAAAAATATGTCAATGTATTTATACAGGTGACAATTAAACACTAATCCTTTAACAAAGTTAAATAGATTTGTTGAAATAAAGAAATACAAATAACGGGCTCAGCACATTTTAATTATAAAACAAACCAATAAGAATATTTCTAGAATGTTTTAAAACCGAATAACGACGCCTAATTGGCGACGAGACTACGCGTGTTCAAAAATATTTACACAGAACGAATGATTCTTTAATAATTTAACTACGCGCTTAATTTGACATTATGGAGGGAGATATGCTTGATTAGGACACTTGAGGAGTACATATAAATGGTTGAAGAATGATGACTTGGCTTTTAATAGACGAGCGTTTGACATATTAATTGATCACTTGTTCTTTAGCAGGACTTGGTGTCTCTGCTGAGTCTCATCACCGTTTTTGTAAGTCCATTATTTAATTAATCATTTAATTCTTCATTAGTTTGTTTTATTTATTTGCATTATTTTAATTCTAATTCTCCTTCTTTTTCTTCTTCATGATTAGCTGGCTACTAGCAACTTAATTATTCTTCATTCATCGGAATTTAGTTTTCTTGAAAGTGTCAATAGCATCTAATAAATTTGATTAATCGTTAAGATATTGCAACAATTACAATAGAGATAATTAATGGCAGAAATTTGATTAATCATAAATGTTAATTTTCTAATAATCATTTTACTATAGTGAAATGATAGTCTAATTATATTATTTTGTGTAATAATTGACTTATTTGATTCATTATTCTTGTAAATTAAAAATTAAACAATTCAAATAAAAATTTCATTGAATTTATTGAAATATTTTTTAATCAATTATTTCAATTGATTGGTCTTCTACTAACATTTTCATTCAAATTTTTTCAATTTGTTCGTTCAACTTTAGAGTTTTTATCTTTATAAATATTTTTATGATTTATTATGCAAATATCATTAACATCGTTTGATAATACGTACTTTATCGCATAAAATAATTATAATTTCATGTCATTTATTACCTTTTGTTCTTTCGTTATTTTTTACTATATAATCAAAGCAAGTAATTATTTGTTTTGGTTAAGTTTATTCTTTTTCCGTTCAGTTTATTTCAAATTCAATATACTTAACATTAATTATAACATTCAAAAATTTATTACAAAGTAAATAATTAAATTGTGAACTAAAAAACTTTCATATATGTAAACACTAATAATGATATAGGTTACAAAAATAGTGTTTCACCCTTTAACGGTTTTTATTCTGCGCATGTTTTTGCGCACATATATTATATATTATTTAAAATTGTGAAACTGAAGAAGGCTTTTTTATTTGTAAAAAGTTTTTGATTTAATAATATAATTAGTGTATAATGGTGTGATTTAATATTATAGTTTAATTGATAATAAATTCATAGATGAATTTAATGTTTATTTAACGTGTTTGATTATTCAGTCTTTATTTCTGAGAAAAAATCGGCAAGATGGATGACAACCAGGGCACCAAGCAATGGCCCCAATACCTGGCTACAATAACAGGTAATTTCATTATTAGTAAGGAATTTAATTTATAACATTGTAAAAGTAACGTTATGTGACATTAATTGTATTATTTAATTATTAAGATAATTAAGACGCGTTCTTGGTTTATGATTCTCTTGTATCGGCAAGCTTCCTTCATGGAGTATTTTTTTTTCTAGCGACATTGTCAGTGGCAATAGCTGGATGTCATATCGGTTGGACATCTCCAAGTCTTCCTTACCTGAAATCTGATGAGTCTCATATTTCAATGACATCAGATGATGCTTCTTGGATAGCATCTTTTTTCTTATTGGGTTCAATGTTGGGTAATCTTGCAGCAGCAGCGATAGTTGACAGATTTGGTCGAAAAGTTAGTCTATTAGTATCTGGAATACCTCTAACTATCGGCTGGATCTTAATCATCATCGCATGGAACCCATACGTTCTTTATATTTCTCGCTTTGTAAGTGGACTTGGTCAAGGAATAGTTTACGTAGTTTGTCCAATGTACATTGGTGAAATAGCAGACAAGAAGATTAGAGGAGCTTTAGGATCATTTATTAAACTAATGGTTACGTTCGGAGAACTTTACGCCCATGCTATTGGACCATTTGTAAACTACCACAACTTGGCTTACTCCTGTGTGATCATCCCAGTTTTATTCTTCGCTAGCTTCATTTGGACACCTGAATCTCCTTACTATCTTATCATGAAAGGTGACCAAGAAGGAGCGATTAAAAGTTTGTCGTCTTTGCGAAGATACAAGAGCAAGGATCGTCTTCAAAACGACTTGGATGAAATGACTAAGACTGTCTATACGGATATGAAAAATCGAGGTCATTTCTGGGATCTTTTTCGATCTGAAGGTAATCGTAAAGCTATGATTATAATCTTTGGGCTCCAAGTAGTGCTCCAATTCTCAGGACTAGCAGCTATAGAATCGTATACTCAAGAAATCATAGCAGGAAGTGAGTCTGGATTAAATCCAGGTGTTGCTGTTATTATTTTAAGTCTTTTTCAATTTGTTGCTGGTCTCGGTGCTGCTGCTTTAGTTGATAAAGCTGGCAGAAGATCTTTATTGTTAAGTACAACATCTCTTTGTGGCATTGCTCTTTCAATTTCTTGTATTTTCTACCTCATGAAACTCCAATTTAAATATTATATGTCCGATGTCGGTTGGATACTCGATGCTTCCATCATCTCTTACGAGCTTATTTGTGCATTAGGATTAAATCCATTACCTTACATGATGATGGGAGAATTATTCCCTACAAATGTCAAAGGTGTTGCTGTATCTTTATCCAATATCTGGGCATCATTTTTAGCTTTTTTTGTCGCTAAAATGTATCAGGTTGTCACTGATACCTGTGGAATCTATGCGTCACTTGCTTGGTTTGCAAGTTCTTGTTTCTTTGGCATTGGATTCATTTATTTCTTTGTTCCCGAAACTAACGGCAAGTCTTTGGCTGAGATTCAGGAGGAATTAAATCGTGGAAAGAAAAAGAACAATATCGATAAAGTTTTCCACGAAATTTATGTTAAAACTATTGAATGTTAAAATCTAACAAATATGAGAAGCTATTAGAATAGGACCCTTGTGAATAATTTAGTACATATTATGCAAAGAAAAATGTTTAACTTTCAAGTTCATTCCAGCTGAGTCAAATAAGAATATTTTGTTGTTTCTAAAAATAGAAGTAATCTTCAAGTTACGAAATGTTCATGTTTTATCGTAAGATAAACAAAACAGCCTTCAGGTTCATTTGGGAGTTATCTATGTTGATTTTAGCGAATTCCGTTGTTAATATTTTTTCAAAGACTATTCCTATTTGGATTAGATTTCAACGTTGAATATTCTTAAAGTTATACTTAAAGTACTAAGTTTTTTTAACATGTAGATAATTGTAAATACTACAAAAGGACAATTACTACAGTTTATTTTACCATTTTTAATTTTTCTTAACTTGAGGTAAAATGGAGTATTTGTTTGAGGGAAGCTATAAGATTTTAAAAAATATTTACAGATTATTCTCTCATATTTTTGATACTCTTTAAGTATACAATAAAATTTATAGTTTCTTTTTAGAGCAATTCTATTTAGCCTCAGGTTCTATAACTATTTTTATCGAAAAATTATCACCAACATAAATCTTATCTAAATTATTGAACGAATAATCATTCAAATTAATTAATTTATTATTCTTTAGAATAATCTGAGGGATTAAGTATCCAATTTAGCTGATGTTATCAAAATAATGTAATTGATGTTTGAATAACTTGAAAAAATATCTAGAAGTTTCGTCGCGATTAAGGTATTTTTAGAATGCAAGGAAAAACAACAAAAATATTTTATTTTTACTTGATAAACAGTTCTTTCATCAATGAATTTGTCAGAATTTGTTTAAGATTTAAAAACACTTAGCTGTTGAAATGAAAAATGAACTTGAATAATTTTATAATCATTCATCATTGATTATAATTGACGAAAAAAATGCGAAGCATCATGGGTCCGAAAGATATGAAATGCTGAGCACTTTTGCATGACCATCCTCTCATCCCTTTAAGGCAGGGTGTAAGAATTTATTGAGACTGATAGTTTATATTAATCGTTAAGTTATTTATTTTGTCATCTTCAATATCCCTTTAAGGCAGGGTGCAACTGACTGACAAATCTTTAACGATTAACAACAATGTACGTTAATGATTGGCCCCTGGTGCAATAAGAAAATTATAAAAAGCCAAATATTTTTTTGTTATAATCTTATACTTTTTAATTAATTTTTAAATAATTTTTTTTATAACTTTATGTACAATTGCATGACTCTCTACTATTATCCCTTTGAAGCAGGGTGAAAGAATGATATTTTGAAATGAAATTTCATTTTTTATATTAAGTAGAAGTTTGCAATCATAATTGATATGTAAATAAACGATAAATAAATTTAATTAGTAATTAAGTAATAGGGTTTGGGCGTTTGACAATATTTTTTCAACAAGATTCGACAACTATTGATGTATATTCTTGCATTATAATAATCATTATATATTATACAATAAATATTATTACAATATACAAACATAAATCTTTAATATTTATTTGTTTCATTTAACATATTCACAACGTTCTTAATTACTTAATTCTTATGTCATTATATATTTCCCTAATTATTTATTTATTATTATTCATGAGTCTAGAAGAGACCAGCCTGAATATTGATTGTCTAAGCTCAAAGTCATCTACGTAGAGTAGTAGCTTCTGTCACAATATGATTGTTCAATTTTCTTTTTCTTCATTAAATATAGACTAATAGTGTATAGTAATTTAGTTAAACCCTCCAAATGCCTTTATTTAATTTTACACTGAAGCGGAAAAATTTTATAAATATATTTATTTAAAACTATCATTTAAATGATAACATAATATTTGCATTTATTGTGTTTTCTATCAAAGTTTAGTTTATTAACTAAACATATATAACAACTTATAACTTCATTCATTCATTTTTTATTTATACAAGTTTTTTTAATTGCTTATATTATCAATCAAGCTCTCTCAGTAATAGTTACATACTATCATTGATACAAAAAATTTATTTGTGTTACATATAAAAATATCCGGAATGATACTAGTCTAGACTAACGTAATAGTTTTATATAAAATATATTGAATATTACTTAAAGTTGTTGTTATCTCATTATCGTTAAACTAAAATTAAATGATAATTAATGAATACTTGGAAGTAAAAGTAAAATTTAATTAGAATTTTCGATAAATATTTTCTAGTAAGTTAATATTTACTACATTATTCGATATTCGATATTCAATTACTAATTAATATAGTTTTACTTCAATGTACTTTTAAAAATAAAAAACTTTGTAAAAAATTGATTAATTTTAATTTTCTTAAAGATAAAAATATATTTTTCCACTTCAGAGCGAAATTTAAATATTCTCACTAATTCTACTAATCAAAACCACTTGAAATAGAATCTTCATTCTATTGTTTACATCACATATTTAATTGCAAGTGGCATATCTACGCCATTTAGTTTTCATTATATGATTAATTATGATTGTCAAGAAACGCAATTTTTGGTTTATGTAAGATTATAGATCTCTAAAATACATTCGACTGTTTTTTTGTTTTCTAAAATTGGCAGTATAGACACGAAATGCATATTAAATTAAAAATAGAAATAAAATTTCATTAATATTTATGTTTACTGTTTAATTAATCACAAATATATGCGTGCCTGCACGCAAAATTACTTATCCGACGAAAGAAATATATTTAACTTTGTTGATTTCCATACCATTACTTTGTTTTGCTAATTTTGGGGCATAAAATAATTTATAAGCCCTTATAAAATTATGAATAAAACCAATTATTTACCCTTACACTTTGTCCATTGTAGGTGACAATTTATTTGTTGTAGGCGCTCACATCTCACTTTATTGTCCATATTAGTGATGACGTCTTTTAGCCTGTAAAAAAATTGTTTAGAATCAAACATATTTTTTTTTTCAACAACAATTATTACTAACTAATATTTTTATTTATACGTTGAACGGTTGAATCTATTCACTTGATATAAGTTTCTCACATTATATAAACAATTGACGATAACAATTCCCTTCCTTTGAATTGGGGTAATGATTATTAATACATTCTAAACGTTTACAATTTTAACATTCAATGATTAATCATTATTTATTATTATTTAATTTTTTTATTTCTTTTATTTACTTGTTTTATTTATTAGTTTTTTTGAAGCACTAAATAAATATTCGAAAATTCGGTATCCCTTCATCTTCGTTGTCAAACACTTTTGTTGACATTTCCGATCTGTAATTATTTAGTGCAGTCTTTTGTGCGCATTTGTAAAATGATTCGTGGTGACGAATTTTGATCGCGCATTTGTTTGAGCATTTTATAAACAATTCCAATAATTTTTAAGATCAATTTTTTTTTTAATTAATTCAACAATAACCATTACAGTTGCTCAAAGATTAATGAAAAAATAGATAAATAAAGTCTTCAATAATTATTTCCGTGGATTACTAAATAAAACTATCCCATGAAATATTTTGTTGGCTGGAAAAAATATTTTTCTTCCCTTTTTATTAAATATTCATGTCCTATTATTATTCTCGAATATCTTCTATTTCTTTTTATCCATAGAGTATACTCTTTCGTTTAATTTCCTCTTTTTTTACTTATGAACGAGTAAAAGAAGAAGAAAAGAAAGGAGAGCAAGTGATTGAGAACAAAGACTTCTCAAGCCTGCTGAAAATTTAATCTTTACGGTGGTACTGTGCTATTCTGAGGCACAGTTGTGTCTTGATTCAATGAATTCAGTAGCTCTTCATTTTCTTTTCGAACTGAAACAGATAATTTTTACCATTAAACTATTTAATTGAATAATTTAACTGTCCCTAGAAACAAATTGTAATGAATATTATTAATAATGCATTTAAATAAATAAAGAATCAAAGTCTTGTAATAATTTTAAATATTATAGCTAATTAATTAACTTATTGATTAGATGATAAAATAAAAATTCCATACAAGTGTTATTACGGTGATCAAACATCTGATGTTTAGTCAACCCTTGGTTGCTAATAGGCGGTATATGAAAGGAGTTGTTTGTTAATGTGACAACTACAACAAGTATAGAAGCCACAACGAGGAAAATGATAGTTCCTAAGATAGAAAAAATAATACGCCGATGTTTTCTAGCTTGCTCTAATTCCATTGGAGACTTCACAATAATTTTTCCTTTCTTCTTTGAATTATCCAATTTCGTTTGTCTCACTGAATTTTTTCTCTGAGTTCCAGCAGTGCTTGGTCGACGTTGTGGTTTTTTACTCACACTAGCACGTCTTCCATCTCCTAAATTATCAAGAATGAATCTAATCAGACAATAATACATTTTAGCTGGTGAATTAATTTCATTCAAAATGAAGTCTCAGTTAGTATTAGGTATTTGAATTCATTATTGATTGGTATTTAGTTAATAGTGTATACCTAAAGGAGTAGGACGACTGCAACTGTTTGTTCGTGATCGTGTACCATGTACACTATTCCGTCTACGATGTCCAGCTTCGGCATTTCGTAATCTTCTAGGTCGATCTGATTGTGAACAAACTGAATTGGATCTTCTAGGTCGATTACGTGGGCTGGGTGGATAAAGTCCATGAGATATGAGCTCCTGGCGAAAATCTGGGAGGCGTTCGTGATAATAATCCATATCGTCAGCGTAGAAAACTATTCGTTCATTTTCAGGTCCTAACATTCGATTACTTATAGACATCCGAGAATTTTTTGGATCCATTTTTTATCTTTTATTAAAAATTCTCTTCTAAATTTATTTTTAACTTTTTTCTTTTCTATTTTTATTTTTCACAATAGAGCCAGTTTATCAAATTTTTTCACCAAAATTCTTTTTCTAAAATTTTTCCAGTGAGTTGGAGAACAAAATTTTATAAACTTCTGTGAGTAATTTGTTTACACTGTCAGTTGGTATAAAGCCATATAAATTTTCTCCTCTTTTCCAAATAGATTCCAACGATAATAGAGTCGTTTCTCAGCACATGTGATATCCAGGAAGTTGCGAAAATGTTAACAATAAACTTGAAGAAGTGAAAATTGCAAGATTCACATTTTCATTCAACTTCTTCATTTTTAAAAATAAATAAAAACTGAAAAAAAAAAAAATTTTAAAAAGCATATTAAAAATTTTAGTAATAGATAGTAAAGTAATTATAAACTTTCCATTAAAAAATTAAGTTAATTAAAAATAAAGAAACTTAAAAGAAAATGTAATACCTTTGTATATATAATAAAAGCTACTTTTAGCTAAATTCTTTCTGCTTCATATCTGATTTAGTTCAGATACATCAATACTCTACTTTCACGATAAATATTTATTAGAAGTAAAAATAAAATTATTTTTTTTTTTTTTAAAGCAAGAGAACGATTCAATTAAATGAAGCCTGAACATTTTCAATGTCTGATAGCGAAAGAGCATTTCTACTTTCTTTCAAGTATAATAATTAAAGTATAAGAGATTACTTTTTTTTAAACTCCACATTAAACATTTTAATCTTCTTAAATTCATTTGTAATTATGAAGAACATTTTATTAAATTGCAATATGAATAATATAACATTATAAACTATTTTATTGTCACAGCAGGAAATAAAAGAAAATTATAACAGGACTACAAATCTGTAAATAATAGAAAATGTATTTTAAAGTGAAAATTGATTCGAAATGATGGAAAAGATCATATTAAATTATAATATTGAAACAAATATATTCTGATATATTCACAGAATGAATGTACATGAATACATATAGATATGAAATAGGTAACGATTTGATTTTCGTCCCGTCAACTCGGAGTAATACGGGCTCAAATGAGTTCACTCATATTTAGGCCACTGCATCAGGGATGGACGAGAGAAATATCAAATAGTTCACAGCTTAACATATTAAAAACTTTAGCATTTGTCATTTTAAAATATTCATTCGAAATTATAATAATAATATTCCATATAAATCTTCATTAAAAATATTATCTCAATATTTATTCCTTTCCTTTAAACATCAAAACTGAAGGATTTGTGTTATAACTATCGGTTAATGGTCTATGTTAAAGCAGACTGTGCAACAGTTTTTCTTTTAATGACTCTCATTTTCAGCCACATTTCCGTTTGGCCACAAAACTTTGCGGAAACTTTTTACAAGCTCGTTAAATGACGAATAAAATTTTAAAAAAACATTTAAACTTAATTTTTATTTTTTGTTTCTACTTTTTCTTCTTCTGCAGCTTTTGTTCTTTTGAAGAAAATTGCAAGACAAATAAATAATTTAGAATACTTGATTGATAAAAAATATAATGGGAATAATTTTATATGTTTAAGACGTCAAACGTAAAGTCAGAAACACGACGTGTTATTGGTTTTGACGTTGGTCTGTCGTATCTAAAAGTAGCTTAAGCACACCCCCGACACATCTAATATAACTCGAGACTTTATACTGCCCAAATGATTCGATGTTTGAACTTGAAATTCAATATTAATTAACTCGAGAAATTCGTTGATCAATATATTGAAGATGAAATATTTTCAATGATTAAATTTATTATTTAAAATTTGAAGAGTATTGAAAAGAAGCTTTTCATGTTATAAAATGAAAAAAATAATGAATAAATGATAGCTTTGCCAGTGAGCTTTGGAGGAATAAGAAAGTCACTGTAAAGTTTTTTAAGCTGTTCGTTATTGATGTAGAGATCTGACTTTTTCCAGAAATACGATGGTAGGATTAACGACCTCTCATTTAAAGAATCTATTTTCTAGCTTTCCATTTGGTATAATAAATTTCCTTCTACATTGCTGTCTCTCAGTAGATGTTCGAGTCTCAACCATTATTAATATTAATGCGAAAATTGTCACAGTGATTATTTAAATAACTGATTTTTCTCTAAATTAGTTTTTAGCTAAAGACAACTTATTTGGATGTTAGCCAGAATTATTTTTAGAGATCGAAAATTTTCCGCTTGAAACTAAATACTCATAAATATATATTAACTGTTAGTACATTTTTCCATTAGGCAAATCCCTAAAATTGAATGTGTTAATCAGTTCATTGAATTTTTATAAATTGAAATATAATTTGATATAAATGATTGAAAATTATATTTACCATTGAATTCATATTACACTACAGTAAATTCCAAAAATATAATTGCTTCTGGCTATTGATTCCATTAAGTAAACAATCAATCAGTTATTGAAAAAATGAATAAAAAAGTTTTACAACGATGGATATTTTAAAAATCCAGTCGTCATAAGGTAGAAAAAATTCAATTTTAAAACTTAATAAAAATTATTCACAGTTCCACTGTTTTGTATGACGGCAATCTTGCTACTGACTGGAAATTCACAGTCGTGCGTCTTTAATTTAAGACGTGTTTGTTGCCCTCGACCTCGCATCCCCTGTCTTCATTTGTGGAGTCCAAAACAAAATTTTTAAAAAATACACCATTATACTGAAACTGAAAAAAAAAAACTTAATAAATCTTGCTGAAAACGATTTGTTATATCTTTAGTTTACTAATTTTTTAAAAATAAATTTCAAAAAAGAATAAAGAAAATAAACATTCATTTCAATATCACGTAACACACTTGTTAGCGTGTTATCAATACATGTATGAAAATCAATATAAATATTTAAGTTATTTGTATTTTGTAGGAAACTGTTGATAGAACAATGTGAAATATTTCATTATTTTCGCATGCTGGTGAATTTAAACTACCCAACAGAATATTTCTATCACTTTAAGTAAATCTATATGTTGTAATTGATCACCAAATGGTAAAAAATGAAAAATTAAGAATTTGAAGTTTTGAAAAAATTTTCATCAAAGTTGAATAGAAATCTAATTTCAATGTCCTTAAAAAAGAACAGTGTCATCATCCGTGATATAAGTATTTAAAGTACAGAATAAATTGATGTAAAGTTCTATAAAAATTATAAGATATTGATTATTTTGGTATATACTACCTTGAATGAAAATTCCTAATACAAGTCTTTAATTACAAATCCTCATAACATAAAACTATTATTAGGTTTAATCGTTTAATTTTTTTATTTCAATACTACAATTAACACAAAAGGATTCCGTCAAGTATTTAATCTTCTTTTCTTACATTTTGGCTCATGAAAATGAATCTTTAATATTGAAAAAAATAAAAAAAAAAAAAAAACTGAACATGTACGTGAAAATGTTCTCAAGTTTTTAAATGATTCAACAAGTAACTCCCAACCTTCAACATTTCATGAGCATTTAACATTCTTTTGTAAACTCCATTTTGATCAGCCACCACCAGTTACAATATTTGCCGTGACAATTTTTTTAATCTCCTTGAAAAAGTATCAAAAAAAGCTTTTGCTCATTTCTTCCGCCACTTTCTGTACCTTTTTATCACATTTTTTACAGTACAAGACTTGGACTAGGTACTTAGATGATCCTCAAGGATTATAACTTTTTCTATCATTTTTCCAGAACTGTTTAAGCAGCTTTTATCTTTTTAGGCATTATTATCCTTTGAAAAGTGTGCTCAATCGTGAAAAGGAGCTGCTTGATTTTTTTTCTTTATATCGTATTGATAGAGTCCCGAAGATTACCATAAATTTCTCTTTACTTGGTAAAAATACGATGCCACTGGATTTTCCAGGCTGCCTTTTTTTATTCCGTTATTCTACCTCTATAGCCTGGGGACTAACAAACTCGTCCGTACACCGGAAAATCGATTGAGCGAAACATTTTTATAAGTTATTATTCACTCAAGGTATTCATAAGATTTCTAAAAAATATTTTATTTTTCCTAAAAAAATCAAATGATAACAAAAATCGCATAAATAAATACATATTTAGTTTTCCAATTAAATGTTAATATTCATTTTTATCAATTTGAATAAATGATTTTTTTTATCTCATGGATTAATTTTTGATTCTCAATATCCTAGAGAATTAAAAACAATCTACTATGGTTATTAATTTTATTGCAATTATTTTTTTCAATTATTTTGAGATCATTCAACTGAATATTTTTCAAAATCAAAGTATTTTTTTAAAAATAATTTTAATGAATATTTTTTATTACAAGACTTTTAATATTCTTTTTTATTTAATTCCTCTAGAAATGACAGACAAATCATATCAAGTTTTAAAAAATCAATTGTTTTTATTTAATCCGATAAAGTATATTAGACAATCAAGCGAATAGTCCATTAGAAAATACAACAAGAAGTGTTCCAATTGAAAGACTTGTATATTTTAAAAAATCAATCAGAGTACGTTTGTCTATTTTATTATAGTCTGAAAGAATAGATATGATCGATAAGATCGATCTGTCATCTGTTGAATCTAGAGGATCAGCAATTTGTGAAAATGAAAAAAAATAGAAAATATTACCCATGTCATCAATAATTGGTGCCATCCTTAGAGTGACCCCGACGAGAATAAGTGACATAGCAAATAGGAGACAGGCAGTGGCAACAATTGTCCATTTAGCTCGTGGCGGCAGTTCATCACGATTAACAAGCATCACCTCAGGCACCTCTGATGCTTCTGTGGTTCTCTGATGTTGCTTTCGCTTCCGTTTCCGACGTGGTGGATGGTCCTGCTCTTGTGGTGAGTCTCTGATGACAATGTCCGAATAGTATAATGAGTCTTCCAGCTCTTCCAGTTCATCTGCTAGGTCTAAAGCCATATAATCTTCGTCATCATAATCAATATACCTGTAAAAATAGAAATATTATAAATAAAAATTACTTAAGAAAGGTATTTAAACTACTCTATAAGATGCGATGACGTCAAGACGTTCCATGCATTTAAATTATAAACACAAATGAAAAAAGATTTGGGGAGAAAACAAAGTTTCTTCAACGTCAAATTGTGATATAAATTATTCAATTTGTTTTTAGAATAGTCTGTGATTTGACTACAGAAAATATATATATATAAAAATAATATTAGTGTGAAATAATGATATTTCTTTTTAGAAGTTGAAAGAAAAAGAATTTTCTTTTATTCTAGTAATTAAAATAACTTTTTTTTCAAGTGTAAACATTTATAATCAAGAGCATTTAAAGCTTTATTACTACCTCTGAGACGTTTTTAATATAGCCCTTAATTGCTCTTTAAAAGTAAATATGAACAAGAACTGAGTAAATTATTGTGTGTATTTTCAAAGATTTCTTTTATACATGTCTTGAGAGATATTATTTTAAAGTAAAATAAATTTTATACATAAATTAATTTCATTCTATAAAAGTTTCAATAAAAAAAGCTGTCATTAACAAGGCTTATACAATGGCTTAATAATTTTCATAGAGAAGTAGTTTGAAAATTATAATAAGCTTTTTATCAATAAAAAAATTATTAAAGGAAGCCAACAAGTTTTAACTTAACATATTACCCGCATGATTAAACTTTTCTCATTACCTTCTAGATTGAGGCTTTACTAAAACTCACAAAACTACAGATGGTAAAACTGCTAAATAAAATTAAAAGAAAATCTTTGTTGTCAAATTAAATAATGATACAATCACTGTGTTGAATTGAAAGCATAATCAAACGTTCGAGGTCTGATGAAGATGGCTACAATGGAATGACCTACTTTTCAATATTCCTATACTTTACAACACATCTGTATTGGTTACATTCTCGTTTTCACAGAAGTCTGGTTTTGGATTACAAATAAATACCTCTCAAAAGAGTACACCAAAAAATGTTCAATTACTCCATCTACATCCAATCCCTAGTTTAATAATTCATTCACTTATAAAAGACTCACAAGAAAGGGTCGCTTTGAGATAGGTAGGCACTTCGGTGTAGCCCAGGATAATCTTCACTGTTATCAAAAAGCTGCTCATGATCACGATCCAACCTAACCAGGGATCCAAAGTCCGGAATACCATCGAGACTCATTAATTCTATAGGAGAGTCTATATCCATAGATGTATCATTCGGTGATGGAATACTAGAAATCCGAAGTTCTCTTCGTATTCTTTGGAGACTTTCTTCTTCCTCTTCTTCCCTAATTCTTCGACGATCTCTTGAATCTAAAAAACAATTTTGTTTATTTGTCTATTTTTAAACACTTCAGAGATAAATAAATATATTTCTAATTAATCGACTGAAAAAAAACCATCAAAGATACACAGAAAATAAAAATGTGAAATATTTATTTCAAGAATTGAATGAAAAGTAGAAATGCAGATACTTCTGCAGTAGTACTTGTAGATTATTCAGTTGAATATTTATATTTAAAAAGCAATCAAACATATATGTTGCAACTGATAATGAACAACTTCCAATTGGTTTTATAAATATAAATGTAAAAATATATAATTAATTCAATCAAATGGAAAGAAATTTATGTAGTAGGAGCTAGATTTTTTTTAAGTTACAAATTGAATTATAAACATTTTTTAACAAAATAACTTTGTGACTTTTTTTTATTATTTCTTTTTATGGCAGTCACTCACAGTAAAAGCAAAAATAAAATTTTATGCATGCTTTTAACAATAAATAAGATCAAATGCAATAAATAATATTTTTAAATTATAACTTTAAAAAAATATATGTATGACAGTGATATTTTATTCACCAATGCTGTGATTGATGAAATTTCGAAAAAATATAAATGAATAAATTAGCTGTGGATTGATTATTTACGATCTAAATAATAAACAAAATAAGTAGTGTAAATGGTAAAATAGCAAAAATATATAATAATTATAGTTTTCAATTAGTATGGTTTGATTATAAATTCCAACCATCTCTTTCCATCAATTTATCCAACTAATCAAATTACTGATACAAATTTTCCAACAAGTCAAACCAGTTTTATTGATTTAATAATATTCTGCCGTTAATGAAGACAATATAGAAATCGAACGTAGAAGTAATTTGTTACTAATAAATGACAATTTAATCAGGGAAATGTTTTAAATTGATTATATCCATGAATAATAATTAGAGTTTTTAATGTACTTCAAAGGCGATGATTGTAATTCGAGCTTTAATGCTTGTCAATTTAATTAAAATTATAATTATTTTTTATAGCATTTTAATATTAATTACTAAGTGAAGTTTTAAATTGTTTTTATAAATCAACTGTCATTTAATATCGAATTAAACAAATTAAGATAAATATACATGAATATTTGTCCTCATTGATTGGAATGCACACATTATAACATAAATACATTGAAAGCTTTAAATTAAATCTGGTAGATTGTAGCAGTCTTTTATGAAAACTTATATATATTTTTTTAATCAATTATAATTTAACTACAACTTCTTCGCAAGGTTTAAATCACTACATTTGATAATTAAAAGAAAAACCTAAAGACATGGTATATTTTTTTTAATGGAGTATAGTTATATATACAGATATGAAATATCATTTTATGATTCTTTTAAAAAATATAAATTCATGATCACTCTCAACTTTTTTTTTTCAATATATAAAAAAAAATCCTCCAATATCTAAAATGTGTTATATTACACTGAAATGAAACGAGAGAACATGAAAACCTGGAATAAAAATGAATAAAAAATAGTTCAATAATACGAGAAAATGTAATATTTACCATCACGATGCGTCCTCCTATCTTGGTCTGCAATAAATTCTTGACGAGGAGCTGAATCAAAGCGTCTTTCACGATTCTTCTGATGTTTGTAGTCTTTTTTATGTTTGTGCTTCTCATGGGAATGATGGTGATGATGATGATGATGATGATGGTGATGACAACAACAATGACTATGAGATGATGATACTGCTGAAGGAGATAATCGTGACTTTTTAAAACTAAATGGCAGCCTTCCCCATCGACGTTTAGACGCAGTAGCAGCTCTTATAGCTTGCAATTTATTCTCAACTAAGGCGGCCAAAACCGCATTAAGACACACCATCTCCGACGCATCCTCCGTCGATACGGCTTTGTCTGCGACATTTGAACCCGACGGCATCACCGTGTCATACTCTTCCCGGTGACAATTGGCGTTACTTACGCCGGGTCATCACCGAGGTCTTCGGTGTCTACTGCTACCTTGCCATTTAAATGAATTATCTCATGAATTTTTCATTCTTCAATTGTGATTTATTCATTGTTAGTCATTTATTGAAAATTTTTAATTACTCTACTTTCAGTTATTTATGATTTTGTATTATTAATTATTATTGTTTTATCAGTTTATGCAACTCTGAATGGCATTTAATGAGCTTGAGGATGATATTCAATTTCCATTTAAATTATTTGCCATTGAAATTCATCTCTTTCAATTCCTTATCACCTTCATTACCAAGTTATTTTTCTGTCATACATGCTCGATTATTGTTTCATTTACTTTTCCACTTTATTTATCCAAGGTTTTATAATATTTCAGTTGAAATAATCCTCAAGTCATTCAGAGATTATAACTTTAGCCAGATCATTTCATTCAAATTCCATTTCACAACAGACTTTTTGTTAGCAATTGGATTATTAAGTTTTCTTCAACCATTGTTCTAAAAGAAAAAAAAAAACATTTCTATTATTTATAAACAATTAAAAACTTTAATTAATTTTTTTTATTATTATTAAATTGATTCATCTCTATATCTTTTGGGAATGAAAGAATGAATTTACTATGGTTGTTTGTCTATGGGTTTTATTACTTTGTAGAGATTACCTACAATGTGTGTACTAAAATAATGTAATATAATGAATAATAGAGTAAGATGAACTCCTTATGAAACAAAACAAACCTTAAATCAGAATAATAGAGTTAAATTAAGTAAAGATACAAGAAAAAAGGTGGAAAAAAATAAATAAAGCCAGAAAAGAGAACGTGCTGAAGCAACGTGTTGCATTTTGTCCTCAATGATTCTTTGTGTAGCTATTTCAGAGATGTACACAACTTCCAAAAAAAAAAAGAAAAAAATATAATTCATATACTGACCGCGATCTCTTTTCTTCTCCTCTATTTTTACGTTTCCCTTTTTGTTTATTTATATTTATTTTGCTTGAATACCTGAATTATTTTTGAAGAAAAAAATCTTCTGCTCTTGCAGATGCGCCGACTCATGACCTAGTGCACCTTCACTCCTCTTGCTCTTCTTATCTTTCGTACCCCTATCTGACCCCGCAGGTAAAACAATCATATTAATACGAAAATCGTTATATTGAACCTTCATAGGAAAAAAATTCAAATGATTACCGAACTGTCGGAAATTATTCTCGTGTCCATCGTCACTTTTTTATCACTCAATTTCCTACCATTTCGTATCCCATAGTGTCGTTATTTTTTTTTTATTATACATAAAAAATTTTATACGCTCACTAGTTGCACAAGTGTCTTACTTGCTTTTCGAGAACCATTATTTACAACTCAAGATGTCATTAACATGTTTTTAGACTTGTAATAGAGACTAAATAATGCAAGTTAAATACAAAAAAAGGTACACTTATGTCACGTTTTTACACAATGCCATTTAGCACGATTCTGGTGATGATGATGATAATGATGATGGTGGTAATGACGATGATGTGAATGTTGACCCACTTTATTAGAAAGAGAAACAAACTTTTCAGTAGATAATTGTTTATTTCAGATATACTTGGACGACACTTGTTAAACACTTGTTAGATAGGAAAAATATTTTAACAGGATAACAGAGAGGCACGCGTGTGTGTTCACGGACAAGCCGCGAGTAAACACGATCCTCGATCCTCTAGTCGGTCTGTAAGTCAGGGGTTGGGAATGAGCAATGGCGCACGCGTCGAAGGCTCGATTTAGTGCAAGACCGGATGATTGTCACTTGTGATTGTCTCCCCAGAGTCCCCGGAAGCGTGCCGATAAAACCAGAAGACATAACGGAAAATAACATAAAGATGGAGAAAGGAATAGTGGTTTCAAATCGACTGGCAGGCAAAGAGACTCAGGTGGATATTATGGAGATGTTTCCCCTCCTTTCTCTTGGATGCCCCCTCTCTCACTTGCTCTTAGCGCGCAATTTTTTTTTCCTGAATATCTAGAGAGGGGGCGCTGGTTATCGAGGGGAAGACGGATAAAGGGGCAGAGAATAGGTTAAAGAGGGATGAGAGGAGGGCGTATGCCTCCGCCAGGGCAGAGAATGTCCGACAAGCCTCCAGCATCACAGCTTTTCCCCGCGCAAACTCATTATCAACACGTGTGTAGACATAACGTCGACCTTTGCGTAGTTCCTACTGCTGTGAGATTTTTGCAAAGTATAAAAAATTGATTCTCTTCTTTCTGAGGATTCTAAATATTTTCGCTCATACCCCTGTACAATTCGTCCAATTATTTTTTCAGGGTAAATATTGTCTGGACTGAAAGAATATTTTATTGGGAGCTTTAGGTCAATAATTTTTTAAAGTTGGAATTTTTTGCAAGGATAACATGTAAAATATTTATCCTTTTCTCGAAATGAAAAGGGGGAGAGAGGTTGCTGAATAATTTTATTGATATACCTGCATAGTGCCTAGACTAGTTACTACAGTTACTCGAGTAAAAAAACACCAGCTCGAATTTTAGAAAAAATTGCTATAACTAAATAAAAATGAAACTCCATAAAAAATATTACGTTTTTATAACAATAAATAAGAAATTATTATGAAAATTTACTATTTTAGATTGTAATTATTTGGATGTAATGTCGCAGTTTTCATTAAGTACATATTAAAACTTATTCTCTGCCATGAATTAATCAATTAAAAATTATAATATTATTGAAAGGATATAATTAATTTTAACGAACCATAACAATACAAATACTCCTTAAGAGATTGTTATTATAGACACATCCGGTATACTAAGATATGCTTTGAGCTTTATGAATTATAAAAAGTAGTTATAAAAAAATGATGTTTTTTAAACAATTTTCACAAACTCATTTTAATATCTACTTTGTAAAAATATAAAATATGAATTTCAAACATTTATGTTCACCCAATCGTAATTTTTCTGAAAAGCTTCGGAATTTTAAATAAAAATTCAAACTCTTCCTACATTACTAAAACCCTACTAATTTTTGTTTAATTACAATTTATAATTACATAAATTTCGAGTTTAATTTTTTTTTCCGTGATAGAATAAAGAAAATTTTATTTCCTTGTTTTAATTTTAATTAATTTTCTTATACTTGTTGTTTAATATTTAACATCATGGTTGCCATTTTAAAAACAATCTTGATTTAAAATAATGCTATAATTTATAAATAATAATTTTTTTTTCTAAAAAATTGGTAATATTTTAATTGGTTTATTTTTCGGTGAAACTAGTGAAATAGTTTACAAAAAGAAAATATAGTTCGAAACTAGAGTATGTTGTATGTATTTCAAAATTTTAAGTCAACAATATTTCTAAAATAAATATTATAATTTCCGTTTACATAACAAATTGTTTATTCTGCAGAAAACTTTGGTACTTTTGACCTGATGATAAATTCGCAATATAACTGTTATGAAAAACTTGCAAAAACATTGGTGAAAAATATTGCTTGAAGTAATTTACTTTATTTTAAAACAGCCATTAAAAATGTGGTAATACATACTCTAGTCGTAATTAATTATATAAAAGTTTTCAGTATTGTTGAATTATTTTTTTTTTAATTTCCCAAGTTATATCTTATTATTACATATCCTTAGAGAAAACGTGGTTTTAAAGCAGACAGAATAACTTTGAGCTGTAGAGAATTCTTTGCATTCGCTTTTTTACCAGGATAAATGACAAGGATATTTAATTACAACAAAAAAAAATACCAAATTTAGTTTAGCAGTAATTATGAAGATACATTCAAAAAATTTTTGATAATTTTTCTTGTATAATTTTTTTCTTTTAAATATTTGCCATTTAATTACTTTAATATTCTAATAATATAATTATAAAATTTTAATTTTATGATAAAAACTAATAAGAATATATTGAACATTATAGAAAAAACCTGTTTTCATTTTAAGTTAAAAGTCATTAAAAACTCCATTTGCATAACATGAATTTTTAACTGTGGCATTTTTCCAAGCAAACTTTATTTACCTGTTTTTCATAAAAATAATTACAATAATAACTTGATTACAGTTGAAATTCAATTATTGTGTGTATTTGATGTAATGAACCTGATGTATATTCGAATGAATTAGCATTTAAATTCATGTAAATTTAATAGTAGAAATGGATAAAATTGATAAAGTTTATCCGGTACTTTTATGAGAAAGACTACTTCTGTTATTCAATTAATCAATTGCAATATATTTCATGCAAATATTTATGAATATATTGAATAGTACGCTATGATGAGCAAAACACTTGAAATGTTTTCAAATTTCAACATTCATTTTATTCATGAAAAATATTATGGATTTTTTTTATTGATGCACCTAAGTGTTTATTTCATCTCTCTGGTAGTTTTATTACAGAAATATTTTATGGTAACACTGAGATAAATAAAAAACAAAACAAAAGATTCATACCAAGAATAGTAAAGCTGTACTATGATGATGTTTCCAGTGATGAATATGGGAAGCTTATAGAAAATTTCTTTGCACATTCAAAATCATTGAAAACAATGCTAAAATATATGCTCATTAATTCTCGTGTATAAAAAATCATGAAAAAAAAATATCTAGTGTAAATTAAAAATTGATTTTTTTTTAAATAAACAATAAATTTCACATTCTACTCTACAGTTTTTTCTCTCACAATATTTATATTGTTTCTAGAAACAAAATTTAAAAAAAAAAGAAAAAAATTCAACCAAAAGCTTTTTTAACTTAAAAATCAATAAGAATCCTTTAGAGTCATTATCAAGTTAATAGAGCAAGAGTTTTTTTTATATATATATAATTTAAATATTTAAAAGAAGTATAAAACTTTTATTTTTACAGTGAAAGAAATAAAACAGCTTGGAGCTTTTCGAGTATTTTTCATTTCATATACATTTTTCTACGTCACTTAATCTTTTGTTCTACCCAACTATCTGTGTTACAGTGTGCCAAGATTAGCAGAGATTTATGCACTGTTATCTGTTGAAAATTTTTATTTTGTTTTTAGCAATTTAAATTTATTTTCCTCGTTTGAACTTTTAACCATTGAGACTAGATCGATCGAGTTTCAATGGAAAATTCATGTTTTCTCAAATGTTGAAGCTTTTAAACGTGTAAAGATCAACTGGAGAATGTATTGAAGGAAGAAGAAGAGCTCTGAATACAAAGGTAACAAAAGCGAGAACTAGGAGTTGCTGGTTACTTGAAAACTATCAATAGTCAATTCACTATAACATTTGATAAAGGGAATGCTATGCTTTCACAATATTGACTCTATCTCATAGAATCCGTTTCATTATTTTATACAAAATTAATTGTGTATTTTATCTAACTATACTAAAACATATTATTTATACTGATATTTAATATAATTATTATTAATTTAAATAAAAATTAATCAATTACTTAACTCTTCCATGCAATTATAAATAATATTGAGATTCAACATCAATATAATGATGATAATAAGCTAAGGTCAACTTCAACCATACATATATAATTAAAATCTGGAATTAAATTAAATACTATCAACATATTTATGTCAATATGTTCAATTTAGCATTTGATTCAATTCAGATTATGCTGTTGACATTACATTCATTGTTAAGTTTAGATTGTAATCGATTAGAAGTTGATTAAATTTCATATGAAAATGGATTCTTTGATTTTTCAAGTTAGCTTGTATTTTGGCTAACATTTTGGGAGAATTTCATTTTGATGAACACAATAATTTCCCAGCGGTTTAATTTATCACTTAAAACAGGTAATGTTTTGGCTGTCTCCAAGGATCAATAAGTCAACTTGTTGAATAGATTTCTGATTTAAAAGCTGAACACGAAAAAGCTAAATCGATAAATATTCATACTTCAAGGATATATTCGGACTCATATTAGCATTTAAATAGTGAAAAAAGGAATCTGTCAAATTTTTATTGATCAACATTTCAGCGTTGGTCAATATAAAAATTCCAAGTTGAATCGAATGGAATTTAGAAGGAGTCTGGAACAATATGCGCCCGGAAATTGATTTTTCGAGCTCGCTGGACCGCAATTGATTTTGAAGAATAATAAAAGAAGTCTATAATGTGATTTTTAAGCTTTTAGATAGGTTAAATATTTCCTTTAGTCTAGTATATGATAAAGTGTTGAATTCGATTAGAAAAAAATAATTAGTGAAGCAAGTGGTTGTTATACAATAGTCAATATAAAGGTATATGAAACAGAGTGCTCGACATTATTTCATAAAATGCAAAGCTCCCAGTGACCTACATTTACTATGATAGCACGTCGTTTCACTTCGCAACGTACAGAACGCCAGAGCTACATGTTTGTTCGTATGCTACTGGTATGTAAGCTGTAATTTCTCTTTGAAACATATTCACAGTTTCTCCCTAATTACCAAGTCGTATCTCTGACATTTCCAATATTCCCCGATGATAAATTCACCTCAATAATTGATAATTATCGTATTAATCAACTATAATTTATTTACATTAATTAATTTCAGCTTACCATGGATGAAACTTATTCAATGAAATTTATCGTTTATGCATCACCTCTTTATTTTCATGCTTTCAAAGCTAATCATGGATTTTTGAATTTTTATATTACTTGTCAAAAAATTTTTTATTTATGTTTTTTTTATAATAAATAAATATATTAGGAGATTTTTGATATTTGTAGAGTATTAAAAAAAGATTAAAATGATCTTTTGAAACAACATCTCTTCTCTACTCCTCCAAGCAGCTCAATACAAACACTGTGAAAGTATTTTCAACACGGGTATTAAAATTGATGGTTTTAAAAATGATAAATATTGAAATAAAATCCATATAAGTTATAGATAAACTTTTTTTTATTTATAACAAAGAAAGCTCTGAGATTAAAGTAATTTAAAATTTAAATGTAAAAAATAGTGTATTTTATAAAAAATTCAAAAAATATTGATATAAAATAATTATAGTATTTACAATTTGGATTTCAATCTATGCATCAATGCTTCTAGCTTCATAGCTGTTTGCAAATTTCCATCAATTTTTAACTTGCCCATCATGAATGCTGATGCAGGCTTCAGTTTGCCAGTGAACATGTCAAAAAAGTTGTTGTATTCCATCGTGAGAATAGCATCAGCTGGTTGTGCTGGTGTGCCTTTCTCTAGTGTTCCATTGCCACTTTTCAAATCTAAAAACCATGTATCTGGTTTCTCACCTGAAATTAATCAAATTATTTTTTTAATATTATTTTCAAAAATGTCAAAACATTTTAACAACTGAAAACTATAAATACCTGTGATATTAAATTGATACACGGCACTAGTCTTTTTCACGAGCTCTGGTGTTATATTGGCTTTAATAGCAGAAAAAATCTTATCTAATCGATTGCCATCTTCAACTTGTTGAGCTTTTTTAGCTCCTTCCGCTTGGCTCATTTTTGTTGGATCAAAAGCAAAATTATTAGAACCACCAAAGTCTTCTTCATCCAAAAAGAAATCTAGCATTAAAGAGTCTTTGTTCTCTGCAAAATAATAGATTGGTTTGTAAGTAAAGTAAAAATATTCGATGTCAAATAAGTAATTAATCAAATATTTTGAATTAGATTAATTTTACCTGGATTACACGCATAATTAGTAAAATCTGTAACTCCTTCTTCTTTCAGCACTAATTCATCGATCAGAAAACGTCCTGTGACTGATTTACTATCCTTACAAATTAATGCATAGGTCGCGTCAGCCATTATTTCTGGTTTACGGCTCCAATTACTGCTGTCTGGACCTGTCAGCATCTCAATTGCTGCTGTGTGAATTGCTAGAAAATATATGATATCTTTCAAAATAATGTACACTAATGTCATTTAATGTAAACCAGCGATTATATTGAATCTGGCAGTAAAAAATATTATAAAATACATAAGAAAAGTAATATTTTGAAAGAATCTCCTTGCTCACAATGTAGAGCAATTAAGGTTGTAAACTACGACTACATAAAATATTTCTCACAAAGTATATTTCTCATGTGTGCTAGAGTTATTGCTCTATCTAGAAATCTGATTTAGTAATAAAATATGTAATAATGCAAGTTAACGGATTTAGTGCATGGCTAACATATAAAAAATCAAAATTTTACGGACAATATAGCATTAAAATAAAACAAATTTAGTTTATATTTAGTGTAAAATAAAAATTACTGGTTAATTCCAAATTGATTATGGTGTGAAAATATGACGTAATTATCTGAATAATTTAAATGACATCAAATTATCAATCGATGAACGATGCAAAGAATCTACAGTGAATATTTAAAGCGAAAATGTATAAAATGATAGAGATTGTTAGCGAGCTTTTGCATTTTTAATTATTTGATTTAATGAAATGAATGGAAAATTATACCAGTTTTAGGCCAAAGAGCATTGACTGCTATTCCATCAGCTTTAAATTCTTCTGCCATTCCTAAGGCACACATTGACATTCCGTATTTTGCCATTGTATAGGCAAGATTGGTTGCAAACCACTTAGGTTTCATGCTGAGTGGAGGGCTGATGTTGACAATATGAGGATTTGAGCTTTTTTTCAAATATGGCAGGCATGCTTTAGATCTGAAAATCCATATAGTCAATATTTAATCAAATAAAAAGGGGAAAACTCGAAGAAATAAATAAAAATATTTGATGTCAAGCTCAAGTATCAACATTTTCAGAACTAAGTAAGTAAATAAAAAGTATGTTGTTTTAAACTAAAAAGTTTAGATTGAAACAATAGATTATTTTTGTTCTTTTAAGTTAAACAATTGATAGAAAAAGTATTGAAAAAGTTTCAAATCTATTTTAAAATTGTTTTCTGTGTTAAGTTTAAAGTACTATTGATAACTGAGATCCCTGATAATTAAATTACGTCAAGTCATAGAGTTTAATAATATTTATCTTACACAAGAAAAGTACCACGAGAATTTATATTATGCATCAAATCATATTTCTTCATGTCTGTCGCTAAAGTACCAGTTAATGATATCGCACTAGCATTATTTACAACTACGTCAATGCCTCCGAACTTTTTAACTGCTTCTGATACAGCAGCATTTACTTGGCTTTCATCCCGTACGTCTACCGTGCAGGGAAGGGCTTTACCCCCAACATCTTCAACTATGAAAAAAAATAAAAATATCTAACTAAAATTATTTTTACAATTTCAATAATTATTTAAACTATCAAAATTACCTTCTTTTGCTGTGGTATAAATAGTTCCAGGTAATTTTGGATGAGGGTCAGCAGTTTTAGCAACAATAACAATATTTGCTCCATCTTTAGCTGCTTTTAGGGCAATACTTTTTCCAATTCCTCTCGAAGCTCCGGTGATAAATATTGTTCGACCTGCAAGTTTTCTAAAAGAAAATAAAATGCAAAAATTTGCAAAAAATATCAGAAAAATGAATAATTAATTATTTAAAATATTCTAGAGCCCAAAAAGTAAATAATTTGAGAATTATTTAGTATTAATCTGGCAATTACATATGGGTTGTTTACGATATAAATTGAATTGAATAATTAATTACATACCCAGTATTAGCAATCATATTTACACTCATTGTTATACTATTTTATTAAGGATAATACTTATCAACAGGTGATTAAATAATTTTTAAATAAATAAAAAATTAACTGAGGGTGAATTTTAGCAGACGAATTTATGCTGGGTAATCAACAACTTGTCTGACTTGTCTGAAGAGGACTTTAACCTGTCCTCTTAACATATACATAAGTACAGTCATGCTTATAAGTTACACAGCTGATCGAATCACTGCATTGAATATAGTCACGTAATATTATTTATCCTTCACGTTGACACACGTCTTATACGTTCTTGTACCTCTTTTGTATATTTTCGTGGTTTAAAAGCCATTCATCTGACGTGTAGTCTCTATTTTTTTATTCTTTACTGTTAAATTATTTTATTTTATTAATTGTAAAATATAAAAAATGGCTGAAAATACTAGTCCCATTAAATATTTTTTATGTGGAGGAGTTGGAGGTATTTTTACAGTAGTGACAGGCCATCCACTTGATACAATTAAGGTAAAGTTTTTTTTTAATAATAGATATTAATAAACAAATAATAATGACTGAAACATCACATAAATTTATTGAAAAAAATATATTTAAATGATATATTGTAAACTGAGACTTTGTTTTCAACTTGTTAATCACTTTTATTTAATAAAATACATTCGTGATGGTTATCAATAGTTAATGAGTTGCAAATTATTTTTTAAAAAAGATAATAAACTGATAGAGTAAATGTTCTAGTTTTAAAGCATTTTACAAATATTGAGTCATTGTTTATAATAGTAATAATTATTTTAATTAATTTAAAATTAATAAACTATTTATAAACATTAAGTTTTTTACACTATTTAATAATTTACACTTTCTGCAATAATCTTATATTTGTCATATTATCAAGAGCAATACATTAATAGACAGTCATTCTTTTCAATTAAAAGGTTCGTCTTCAAGCAGTATCAATTGGTCCAAATGGATTACCAACATACAGTGGAACTTGGGACTGTACAAAAAAGACTTTTATCAATGAAGGCTTTCGTGGCTTTTACAAAGGTAATCTAGTGATACATAATAACTAACTATTATTTAAATGTGCTAAATACGTCAAGATAAAATTAATTGAATACATGTTTTCTTTTTTATTAAAGGCATGGGAGCACCTCTTTGCGGTGTAGCTCCAATTTTTGCTATGAGTTTTTTAGGTTTTGGAATTGGTAAAAAGTTGCAACAAAAAACAGGCAATGAAAAGTTATCAGCAATAAAACTATTTAACGCAGGAGCATTCAGTGGTGTTTGGACAACAATTATAACAGCTCCTGGTGAACGAATTAAATGTTTGTTACAAATTCAACATGGACGAGAAACTACTAAATACAATGGTCCAATTGACTGTTTCAAACAATTATATAAAACCGGAGGAATACGGAGTATTTATAAAGGAACAGCAGCTACACTTTTAAGAGGTACATACATTTCTTTTATACTAATTTTTTTTTATTTTTTAAAGTATTAAAAAATTTTTTTTTTCTCAAGATGTACATGGTAGTGGAGTTTACTTTATGACTTACGAATTATTAAAAGACTGGTTGGCTACATCAGACCAAAAATTAAGCATATTAGCATCCATTTTTGCGGGTGGATCTGCAGGCATTGCCTACTGGGCTGTTGGAATGCCTGCAGATGTAATTAAAAGCCGATTACAAACTGGTATGTATAATTTTGAAATGAATCAAAATTTGAAAACTATTTATTAAACTTATTTTTAGCACCCGAAGGAACATATAAAAATATTGGGGATGTTTTTAAACAATTGGTACGTGAAGAAGGACCTCGTGGCCTTTATAAAGGAGTTATTCCTGTGATGTTACGAGCATTTCCAGCAAATGCCGCTTGTTTTGTTGGATTTGAACTTGCCTTGAAAGTACTTAATTGGGCAGTTCCAAATTTATAACATTTTTAAAAAATATTTTATAAAATATTTATCTCTTCATTTTAATCTATAATCTATTGTATATATTGCACAGTGATTATATTTTTTAGAAATATGTTTTACGAAAATAATTGTTTTCAAAATATAAAACTTATTGATTTATTAAAGCACAATTGCATTAAGTTATATAAAAGACAAATTGACATTACTAAAGCTCATGATTTAGTATTTCTATTATTAAAATTGCTATAAATAATATTATTTAAAGTTTTATTCTATAAAAAGCGTCTCTCTCATTTTCTTTTTTAGAAGTCAATTGAAATTTTATATTTATAGTGTGATACTGATGCTAAGACATGAGATAGTCAACTCATTTCTTATTTATACGGAATGTTTGAGTGATTATTCAGAAAAATTACCTTTGCACCAAATCTCTATGATCTTGAAATAAATTTATATAAATACCTTTGTGAGTTAATAGGTATAAATACTTATACATATTAAGTAAAATTTTCCAAAATTATTGAAAGGTCTTTTAATATAGAATTAATATGTTATTTAACGTCTCTTCTAGTTAAACCAGTTCTCTATGCTTAGTTTAACATTGGAATTCATTTTTTAAGTTTATTTTAACAGCGTAAAGGCTCTCATTGAGATTTACTAAAATAAACTTATTCTTTAATATATATTCTATTACCATTAATGTTGAATTCATTTAACTTCCATTAAGAGTAACTATCGTCAGATAGTTGAAATAAATCTAATTGACTTTAACCTTGACATTATTTTAATATATAAATATTATAAAAAAATGTTGCATCTACAAAACTAATAATTAATTATATTTTTTTCGATTTTTTACTTCCATGAGTAAATCAATCATTTGATTTTAGCTGTCAAATTGTTTTTAAAATAAGCAAGCAATACCTTTTCGTAATATTTTTAACTAACGAAAAAAACCAATTATTTTGCTCGGAGGTCAATAACCTGAATTCCTGCGGTAGCATCAAATTTGCAATGTTGTGCATGCTGTAAAATAAAAAAAATAACAATTACTTACGGTTCATCTTTTAAAATACAAATGCACCATATTATTTATTACTCCTAATCCATACCGTGTAAAGAGATTTTTCATTTGGATGAGGGTGAAATCCAGTAGCTCTACACTGTGCAATAAAATTTAATCCGTGCTCCGGAGTAAGTATGAAATATCCAGTTCTAAAGAAAATAAAATTAAATGACTCGTTACCTTTATTAAAAAGCATGTCATTTTAAAAATAATCACTTACTCATCGTATTTTGGAGCAACCACAATTGCTATTGCTTCTGCCATCATCAGTTGGTAAGAACAATGAGTATGAAGATCGACACTAGACAAAAAGGCTGTTTGAGTTGGATGAGTCTAAATAAAACAAAACTCTGTCAATATTTAATTGTGAAAAGAATTACAATTAAATGATTTAGTAGGAATTTTATATTTACATGAATCCATCCTAATGTTATGAGATTATGTTGATCTTGATAATCAAAGATTTCTTCTTCATTATGTGTCACACACGAATCCGATGATCCACTTTGTTTTGGTATTAGTAAATGAGTAATTGATAATTGATCTTTCTCTAATTTACCAGCTAATATTCCACATGTTTCTTTGTTATTCATCGTATTAACGTAAGATAGTATCAAAAATTCTCTGATTATTTTAGTGGGCACAATAATTTTACGTAGACCTTGTTTTCGAGGCTCTAATGACATTGGTTTATCAGTATCATTTGGTAATTGAACATTCCTAGAAAGATAATTTTTATTTTGAAATTAATTTTAATTTTAAATCTAATACTACTAATAATTTATACTTAAATAAATCTTACAATTTTTTATCCTCATCATCAGTAGCTGGTTTATTTTTTAATTGCTCCTGATGTTCAGCATACTTTATTGCATCAAGTTTAAATTGTTCTAATAATTTTTTCTTTAGCTCTTCAACTATAGGTAAAACTTGTCGTAAATTTTCTTGCATAGAAAGTTTATCTTTTGCAGGTATTGTATTGTACTTTGGATGATGTCTAATTTTTTCAATAAATATACTGAAAAATGCAAATTCATTTAGTGAAAGCAATGATAATTGTTTAGAAATTTTATTGTTGGTTACGAATTATTTACGTTAAATATTTCATATAAATTGTAAAAGCGTATTCCAAGTTTCCTTCTTTTTGGTAAACCGTTGCCATTCTAAGCATTTCCACTCCAGATCGATAATATCTATAAAATTAATTAATTTTTTAATTTTATAAACGAACTTGTAGAAAGATATTTTTATTTGTAATAATCTTACCTGTGAGGTGGAAAATTTGGATCAACTTCAACTTTTGAAGCAAAATCTGAAATAGATTTCAGACGTGCTTCAGGATCAGATATTATTTCCTTTCGCGGAAATGATGGGGTTGAATTTGACTCGCCGGCATTGTCACGGCTCATTTTTTTTAAATACTATTACACTACATCACTTGCACTACAAATCTGTCATTGCATGAGTCATCTTTGCTTTTATTATGATTATGACATTTATTATTTATCATACCCAAAAGATAACACCTGCATAGTGGGTACAAACTGTCAAAAAGTTCAATTACGACTGTAAATTTTTTGATGAGACTGTTCCTATAAATACGTGGAGTAAAATGCTAGTAACCTATTATATAGGTTAGAAAAAAATGAGTGAATGTCAATGCCTCTACCGATAACGTTAACAAACGTTCCGTTGAAATTGTTGATAATACAGAATTAAAAATTCGCGCGAAAAATTGAAAAATCATATTCAAATCAAGATTTCTACTGTACTAATCTCATCCACGTAAATTTATAAAATTCAAATAATTTCTTTAATAAATCGAATATTTTATATTATTTTATAGTTTAATAATACAACATTACATAAGTAAAAAAATTGAGCGAAGTAACTACGTAAAATTATTCAAAAAAAATCTAAATTTGAACATTGATGAATACTAATATCATATTTATAATACACTTACAGCAAAACAATATTGCTATTAGTATTAAATCAAATAGTAATGTTAATTTCTATAAAAAAAAATTATCAAAATTGTATCGAACTTAAAGTTGTTTACAATTGTCTTTCGTGTAAAAAGTCTTAATAAGAAATTTGAATAAACGTTAATAACGAAATAATAAGCTTATGTGTAGAAATTTCAAAAACTCATAATGAAATGATATTTAACGTAAAATTTTTTGTTTAAGAAATATAGTGCAAGTGAGAGGCACATCTTGAAGATTGTTATTATCTAAAATCTCTTCGGGAGAAATAGATAAACAAGTTGCATACACAATATTCATTGGAGTTCGACAAGTTGATGTCTAAAGAAGCAATAGTGTATTTTAATAGAAGTTGAAAACATATTTATTATAAAATTAATTTAAAAATAAATCATACCTTTCTTGTCTTAAGCTTCCATATTTTTTTCCCGTTCGTAACTTCAAAACGGTGAGAAAATTTTTTTGCTACAGAACGCGAGGCATACATGAGAAGAGTTCCTCTTAAATGACCATCTTGACTAATGTTTACATGAAAAACGAAGAATCCTACATTTTTCAAAAAGAAACAATCATATATTGATTTTGGCTGGTTTTTGTAAGCTATCTGCCAGCTCTTAGTGATAGGCAATGTACTGTCTAAAATCTGAGAACAAAAGAAAAATCATTTACTAAAACAAAGTCTATTTCTAGAACAGTAAAAAAAAATAGATTTACATAAACAGTAAAAATTCTAGTTTCACCATTTTTTATCTTACCCGTTCATAATGATTAGGATGTTTCGTTTCAAAATGGTGAACGATGTCACTAAAACAACCATTAAATTTACATCCTTTAACAACACAAGGAAATAAACCCCAAGAACGATTTACTGCAGTTCCAAGTTCGATAAATGAATCGAAATTTTTTGAATTAGTTGAACATGAATTTTTATCTTTCGACAAATCAACTTTCTTGAAGTTCTTCTTAATATTATCTAAAACGTTCTACGACGCAAATCATTGAATTAATACTTAATAAAGAAGTCTATGTACATAGAAAATAATCATAAATTTTCAATATTACTTACTTGTAGATCATTAAACGTTGAATAAATGCTTTCTACGCAATAGTTGCGTATCAATGAAAAGCCATTTTGGCATATTGGACATTTATCAATACGCAACATGCATGTTTCACATAGATTGTGGCCAGATTTACATAGAAATACTCGGCCTTTTATTTCATAACATATTGGGCATTCAATTAGTTTTTTTAAATTCTTCGACCACTAAAAATACAAAGTATCGTTAGCAAAAATATTAAATCAAGATGTATGATGAAAAAATTAAACCTAAGTTTACTTCTTGTATTGCCATGTTTGATTTTAATTACGAACAAAGTCACTTCCAATTATCTTATATTGTTCAGTAATATTTTTATTACTAATGTAATTTATTGTAATATTATGTAATATTATTGTCAAAAATAAATGAAAGTTTTGAACAAAAGCTTCGGGTTACGAAGTGCAAAAATGTCCTTGGGTTATCGGATGCTCCAGAACTTTTCTTCTCAGCAACACTGGGAATTCCAGGAAATGAAATAAAGTATCTTCATCTATTGTAAGAAATGTGAGGCTACAGTTTGCATAGTAAATTTTATTACACACTTACACGATTTACTTCTCCGAAATCCGTATAAAAAGCGTTGATGCAAAATTCTTATCACATTTAAGAATTCGATAAGCAAAAAATTATTGTCATAGAAGAAAATGAAAAAAAAAACAAAATTAGTTTAAGCCGAATTTGTCATGAAAAAATTAACAATTTCATCTTGCACATCAAGATATTATATCATAATTCTTTTATAAAATGACTTTTGTTTTAAAAATTGGTATTTTTGGGTCGAAACAAAAATATTAACCGTTATTTCTCATCACATAAATCATCTCAACTATTTGAATAATTATTATCCGCAACAGATAACCTATTTTATCTCTGTTACAAAAAAAAAATGAAGCATCTCATGAAGTGGATTCATGCAATGAAGTTGGTAATTGAAAGTGCAATGCTTTTTTGGCATTATATACATCATATACATAATAGTGAGAAATGATTCATGACTATGTAGAGTGATAAAGAGGCCTGAGAGTATCTTCAGAGAGGGGATTTTCCAGTTAAAAGCTCACGAAGCGGAGGAAACACATTCTATTAGAGTCTAAAAATTAACTCCTATGTGTGTAGTCTTTCCCTATTTATTTTTCTTCATCTTTTATTAAACTAATTATATTCAATTGTCTACTTAAAATTTATAACGAAAATAATGATATTTTTGTAAATTCGTATCAGTTATCGAATTGATTGATTATTTTTTTGAAGTTATTATTAAAATAACAATAATGTCTACTTGTGCACGTAAAAATATCTCATCTGAAGACATGAAAGATCATGAAAGTGTGAATAAAAAGTATATTTCATTATTTAGGCAGCATGACTTTATTTAGTTTTTTGTTATAATTTTATTATTAATTTCATTTGTGAACTGTTTGATTATAGTAATGGATCAATTCAATTGAAAAATCCACATATAGAGCGAATGGATCAAGATTATCTCTACCACCTTGCTTTAGGAACTGCAACTCATGATCTTGTGGAGATGTTCAAAGATGTTAAGGTACATATTTATTCATATTTTCATAGTTTTATTCAGTACAAATGACTTAGAAAATACAAAAATATATTCTAGCAGTTTTGGAGTATAAGCAAATTATTTTTTATCATAGAAAGTTATGTTTAATTCACAAGGTTATATCAAGTCCATTCTAATAATAAAATTTCTTATTGAAATTCTTTATCACTTAACTGACTAACATTCTAAGAATTAACTGCGCTTGCTAAACATTTGAAAAAAGACGAAGTCAATATATGACATTTGAATTTGCAACGCTATGACAATATATCAATCATTTTAAAAAATATTTTTATTTTTGCAACTATTTATGACTTGTTCCGTAAGATAAAATGAGAGAAAACTATACAAAGTTAAAAAAGTAATATTTATTTAGAATTCTTGTATGATCGTTAAAGGCTCGGATTCAAGTTTTACATTGGGCAAAGAAACTTTACGAGCCTTAAAGACACGTGCATTTTTTCAAAGGTGTAATGCTTGCATTTCTTACAGTTCGTTTGTATGGGTGGTGCAGCTAAAAGAATGGAAGACTTTGCTCACTACGTTATGAATGAAATAGACTACAAATTACCAGTTGGTACAACTTTGTTGGATCTGACTCAAAAATCTCAACGTTTTTCTATGTACAAAGTTGGTCCAGTTTTGTCAGTGAACGTAAGTAATTTCTGCGAATTTCAGATTGTATAAAAACAGTTTATTATCTCGAAAAAATTGAATGACACAAATAGATAAATTTATTATTATTATTGTCATGACATCATATTAATAAAGATATCCATTATTTTCAGAGTATCATAAATTATCACTTATTTTTTTATCAAAGTAATTATTAACCAGAGAGAATGTCTTATATTATTCGCAGCATGGGATAGGTGTTCCATCAATGGGTACTCTTCTTCATGAAGTTGTTAAATTGATGTATCATGCTAAGGTAGTAGATCCAGTATTCATTCGAATTGGAACTTCTGGTGGTATTGGAGTTGAAGCAGGAACCGTTGTTATCACTGAAGATGGAGTTGATGCAATGTTAAATCCATATTATCAACTGGTATATATCATTTATTATTGTATAAAATTAATTAATAATTAACTATTATTGATAAGAAAAATTTAAGCATTTTTGATCTAAGTTGTATTGATTAACATACATCATCAATGAATAGCTTCATTAATATACATTGTTTAGAAAGTAATTGAGTTCTTTTTTAGATGATTTCATTCATTCAAAAAAAATGTGCTAATTTAATTAACAGTGTTAATGAAATTAAAAAATTTTACTTCCAGCCAATTCTTGGGAAAATGGTTCAACGTCCTGCAAAATTAGATAAAAAACTAACACAGGAATTAAAAGCTATGGTTAAGCAGGAGGATTCTTTTAAAGTAGTCTGTGGAAAGACAATGCACGCGGATGACTTTTACGAAGGTCAAGGCCGACTTGATGGTGCATTTTGTGATTATACAGAAAAAGATAAAATTGATTATTTACGTCGTCTGCAAAAAGCAGGCGTAGTAAATATTGAGATGGAAGCATCTGCATTTGCGGCTTTCACATATCATGCAGGTATCCGAGCTGCTATTGTGTGCGTTACGTTTTTGGACAGGCTAAAAGGCGATCAGGTATTTCAACAGATCAAAGAATTTTGTGTTAATAATTAGTAACAATTTTATTGTCAAATATAATGAAATTTTTGTAGGTAACAACTCCAAAAACGGTATTAGAAGAATGGCAAAAGAGACCTCAAATCATCGTAGCTCGATATATAAAAAAATCACTTCAAAATAAAGATTTCAAAGGTTTTTGATTAATTTAAAAAACAATAATTATACTAGAGTATTAAAGCTTCAATTTTTTTTGAAGAGATTCATTTCAAACTTTTTATTACTGTTAAAGTATTTTTAATATTTAATCATTTTTTATTTTTAACTCTTAAAATTTATCTATAATTATTATGATAATAATTACGATTAAGATAGCAGATGAAGGCAATAAAATAATTTATAAACTAATTTAAAAAAAAAAAAAAAATGATTTGTTGAAATATTTTTCCAGTATAAAGTTAACGTTATAAAATAGATGAAGTAGGTATCATCTGCTCCATTCATAACTGTCAGACGCATCAGGATTAGGTTTAGTTGTCTGACGAAATACCTGCTTCCTATTGCCAGCTGCCTTTTTTGTTGAGTTCACAGACATAAGTGGCATTCTTTTTGACGAAAGAATTTTCTAATACACATTTCGCTGTGTATGATTTGCATATTTAATTGTAAAACAACAAGCCATCTGTTATGTAATTGCTGTATTGCATTACAGATGTGAATTTTTGAGTTCTTTGACTTTAAGCGAATATCAACTACGATGAACTAGCTGAAAGCAATATTAGAGTAGGGATAATTTGAAGGACAGTGAATGCATCAAAGAATGAGCAGTGTGTGTCAGTTGTAAACTCATGGCTCTGAGGGAAACAAGTCCATTACATGATTAAAATTATTTATTCGTATTCATTTATTCAATTACTTGATTAAAAAGGGGGTGAAACTAAACATAATAGTGTTTTTTATTTATTCGAAATTTGGTTTAAAAAATGCCGAATTGTGCGTGTGATAGTTTAGAAGATACGCAAAATAACCATATTTGTCAATTGAAACTGCCAATAGACTCTGTAATAGATTCTGATGAGCATGAAAATGGTAGTACTGTTGAAGATAAACAAGAGCATTCCGAAAGGTATGAACTTTACTATAAAATTTTTGTAAATATATCTATATTTTCAATAATATTTATTCACAAATATAAAAATAATTTATATTAAATAACAAATAATTTCTACTGTTTCTAGTAAAAGTGATGGATCAGTGCGCCTGCGAAATCCGTACATAGAGTTCATGGATGAAGACTTTCTCTATCATTTAGGATTGGGAAGTGGAACTCATGATCTTGTAGAAATGTTTGGAGATGTCAAGGTTGAGGATTAAAAAATTTTTTTACAATAATTTAAAACAATTCATGATATTTTAAACAAATATTGAATTAATTAGAATAAACAATTACGCTATTTTCCATTAGGAATCCTTATGAAAGATTCGTGAAAAATAGGTTTCATTTAACAATAGTTGCGATTCTTTATGTTTGTCTTTTAATAATAGTTTGCCAATTAAATATCTTTGTATCAATGAACCGAATAGGTTTCACTGCTGATTGATAGTAAAGTTTTTTATCACGCGGAATAAGTTCATTGCAATGTTGATAAGATGAGCAAGGCTGTGTATTATATTTTTTTTATAAATATCAAAGATATAGATTTGATCTGATTTATATGCTAAATCGTATTAATTAATGAAAAATATGAATTTTGAAATGGAACTAAATTTATCATATAACTTTACTTATGTACAGTTCGTTTGTATGGGAGGAACGCCAAAGAGGATGGAGAGTTTCGCCTATTATATTATGAACGAAATAAATTACAAGTTACCAACTGGTACAGCTTTGCTAGATATTACACAGAAATCTCATCGTTACTCAATGTACAAAGTTGGTCCAGTACTTTCAATTAGTGTAAGTACCATTTTTTCTATTTAGGCTTAAAAAATTAGTTTAATAATATTGTAAAATAAGACTCAATAACAACTTCGGAAAATTAGTAAATTAATTAAAATGTTTATTAATGATTGACAGCAATTAATAAAAAGAAAGAATCCGTGCGGTCAACTCAAGTCTCAGACAAAAACTGGAGATAAACAAACTCTCCCCTCGTTGCTATAAACAATCTAATCGTCAAGCAATCGTTGTTAACTAACAAACTGTCGTTAGTCTAATAGTCATTAGATGGCGACATACAAATATTTTACAATATTATTATAAAATGATTCTTTAAATTCTCAAGTTAAGCAGAAAATTATTCATTTTTTTGTATTGTTTTATAAAATGAATTGATTTTATTATTTATTTTCAGCATGGAATGGGTGTACCATCATTAGGAATTGTATTACACGAAGTTATCAAACTTATGTATCACGCCAAAGTGAAAGATCCAGTTTTCTTTAGAATAGGAACTTGTGGCGGGATCGGACTTGAAGGAGGAACAGTTGTTATTTCTGATGATCCAGTTGATGGAATGTTAAATCCATATTATGAAGTGGTAAAATTAATTAACTATTGATATTATTAATTATCAATAAAAAATAAACATTACAATTAATATTAAAATTCATAATAATTCATGTTTATTTGATAAAAATATTTATTTTTAGCCAGTGTTAGGTAAAATGCTTCGACGTCCGTCTAAATTAGATAAACAATTAAGACAAGACCTACAAGCCGTTGCTGAACCAAGTGATCATTATAAAACGGTAGTTGGTAAAACAATGTGTGCTAATGATTTTTTTGAAGGTCAAGGTCGCCTTGATGGTGCATTTTGTGACTTTACAGAAAAAGATAAAATAGAATATCTACATGATTTACAGAAAAAAGGAATAGTAAATATTGAAATGGAAGGAGTGGCATTTGCTGCACTCACACATCATGCAGGAATCAGAGCTGCTATTGTATGTGTGGCATTATTGAATAGACTTAAGGGTGATCAGGTACATAATATTTATTATTACTTTTCTGATGATAAAAAACAATAGATCTGATAACCAGCGATAATTGTCATATAATTTGAACCGAAAATCTTATATTACAAGTATCAAATTTTACCATTCTTCAGATAGTATTCTATCAGATAGCTGTATCTCATTTAAATACATATATTTGTTGATTGAAAAAAATTTTTATTTTTTTAGGTGATGACTCCCAAAACAACATTTGAAGAATGGCAAAAACGTCCGCAAACTCTAGTAGCAAAATACATTAAAAAATGCTTGCTATCTAATGGCTATTTTTCTAATTAGTTGAATTTTTATTCATAAAAAATAAAAAAATGTGTAATGAAACTGCCAGTTTTACAGCCAATTTTTCTTTAGCTAAAAAGATGTAATGTGTAATAAATATTAAATGATTTGAAAAAATACAATAACAGAAACGTATCATAAATTTATTACATGAGATTTAAAACAATAGAATCATGAATTCAATTATCTAAAAGTGCAAAGTCAGACTTTGTTAATAAGTTAATTCTAGAAAAGTAATATTCACTATTAATATAATGAAAAGACAAGAGTAAACGATCAAAGGACAATTTCCGGGTGCTTCATGCTTCAATTCTCTTTCTCTATATTAAGCTTTTGGACTTCAACTACAGACTACAGCTAGATCTTTGACATATCCTTTACATTAAATTATTTTGAAAGATCATTCACGATAGCAATGACACATCATTACTTGTGTGTCTGATACAGTTTATTTTTCCTTTAAAAAATAAAATGCTCCAAAATGGATTCATCATTCTCATATACTAGAAATATTTTTCTAAAAAATTTCTTATATATTTATACTCATGTGTTAGAATTATTTATATTGATTTCAGAATCTTTTTGTTCTAAATTTCTAAAAGCTAGAGAGTTAATAAATGAATATTAGGTTCATTGCGATATATTTCTTCTTTACTAGCTCTAAGAGCTATCAGCAAATGTAATGTTTTATGGATGAGCATAATACATTAGTGAACTGCCCCACTATCATTTGACACTTTTATAAGGGATGAAATGACCCCGATATAAATTACATGATTATCATGGATTTTTATTAACATGCTTGATGTATCGTTCATTGATATACAATTCACTTTATATTAAAGTGATTTTACCGCTGAAAACAATTTGTCAGAAAATTCGAAAAGTACAATACTGAGTGCAGAAATGATGATAATATTGAGTTCTTTATCAATATTAGTTTTTGAAATTGATTTTATTGTTACTAGTATCATACCAATCATAATCAATTATTAATTAATTGTATATTTTTTCAAACCTTAAAAATATATTGGCATTGTATAAAATTTGTCCTCTTAAATTATAGAAAAATCAGAAAAGCATCTTATAGATTATCCCCTGATTGCAAGTAGTCATGACAACGGCACATAATTCAGCAAAAAAGAGTATTTATTTTATTCTTTAAAAGATAAAAAAAAAAGTTGGAGAAGATTAAATGAAGACAATTGTCAGTGTACTATCATTTTCTTCTTTTATCAATTTTTTTTTTTTTATTATTTATCTTCTTCGACAAGACATAAGAGTAGATATTGAATCGTAGAATTTTTTTATTGCTTTTATTCTTCATCTACTTAATATTAAGTCTCGAGTCAATTACTTCTTCCCGTGTATTTACATCTAAAATCAAGGGGAAGTGTCAGAAAATCCATTTCATATAATGTACTTTATTCATTCGTATCCTTGTAAATCACAGAAAAAAGTGAATAGACACGGACATACTCTTTCAAAAACCTTTCTAATGTTCCAAGGACTTTCAATAAACATTCAACAAATGTTAAATTTATATTTGATTTTGATATTTCTTGTAGGAAGAATCAATCAATCAAGAACTTTCATAAGCTATTCAGATTTGATTTAAAAAAATTACACTGATAGCTAGGTATTCAATCTTTTTTTACAATAACTATCTTACTTAACTTATTCACTGATGAAAAATTTCATAAATAAATAAAATATTTTCAATCACAACAAAGAAACTTGTAAACAACAAAAAAAACAATTGAATCATTGATGCATTTTTTATTTAATTATGTTTTTTTTTTAAAACCTCTCAATTTTGTGAATCATGCTTCAAAAGATGTTCTAGATTATTATGAAAATTTCATTAGAAACAAATTACTCATCTATTCAGTCAACTGAGAAACTTGATTACCTGTACAACTTCAGTGGCAATTAGTAGTTTGAATGAATGGAGTTAATACAATTGAAAATAATCGATTTTGCATCATGGACAAAATAGAATAGAAAATAGAAAAATATATACATTTGTAGTGTAACTTTTATCAGACTGTTGGTGCGTAATCTCAGTCTTGCTATTGGTTGGTCCATCACCAAAGCGGAGGACAACTGATGAAGAGTGGGGCTCTACATAAACCCTGAGAGAGCTGGTGCTCTCATGCCACTGACTCGTCATCCGTCACATCAGTAGGATATTTAGCACGTGTCAATTGCTTAGAAGTTATTATTTTTGCAATTTATCAGTGAATCTTTAAATAAAATCCAACATTTTTGATCAACAACTGTTGCTTTTCAGGTATGATTTTTTCTATCAATGAATTAGATTAAATTATTCAATATTTTCATTCATAAATTGCGAAGTTGAGTATTTTTGATTTCTTATTGACAAAAAATTCGCACGACGTCATTTAATTGTGAAGTTAAAATCAATTTTAACTGAGTGAATTTATTTATTTTATAATGTCTATGTTGTGATGAAAAAGTTAAATGTATGATTGAGAGATAATTGATGAATGGAAAATTAATTGGTCATCTGATTTAACTTTAAGAATATTTAATTTAATTTTAGGATAAATGATACGCATGGAAAGAGTACATAATTTAGATAGATTGCAAATCAGAGACTAAATAAAATCCCAAGTAGGAATGTCATAGAATGAAGTAATCAAAGATTAAGCAATTTGTGAAAGAACATTCGAAACGCGATATTGATATAAAAGTGTAATTAATGAGTCATGAAATGGAATAAAAACTCCTATATCTAAATTAATTAACTAAAACTATCAAAATTATTTCATTTTATTCAGGAAAATACGAAATAAATGAAAGCTTATGTACACTTAGCTAAATTATTGACTGAAAAGTATAAATAAAGAGTCTAAATGATATTCATTTATTAAAAAAAAGTATCTTTTCTCAAAATATTTTTGTACCTAAACTGTTCTAATCGCAGATCATTATTTTATTTACAATCTTAATGGAATTTGATTGAATTTACGTCATAGCTTGCAAGCGCTAGGAAAAATACTGAGGACCAGTTTAAAAAAAAGAAGAAAACTGGTTTCGTTAGGCGTCATATTAAATTGAATGTTAAGGAAATCCCTATATTTTTTATCGTTTTTATTCAGGGAATTCCCAAAGTCATTGGCTTTCTTATGAAATACTAATCACTTTATGTTGCATTATTGTTGTCATTACTCAAAAAGAAGGTAAAGAACTGTTGAGACAGGCTATGATATGAGTCATGGCCATTCACTCCACTGGTGTTACTCTTACTTTTACAATATACAATAGATACATAAACACATATCACTGGAAAGACACTTTGCTAATCCGATCACTTAGCTGTTGGAGTCATAAATTGATCACTTCATTGCACAGACATATCTGCTACATATTCTGTCAGCGTAATTGAAATTTTTATTTCATTTTTTCAGCTCTAATAAAATAAACAATGGAACCGGATAGTTTCAAGGATTTTGCCAAAGAAATGGCAGAATATATTGTTAATTACTTGGAGAATATCCGTGACAGGTATTGCAAGAATATTTGTAATTAATTATTCTATTAAATATTTTTTTTAGAATTAATTAATGAATAAGTTGAATAATTATAGGCCAGTTCTACCTACAATATCACCAGGATACATGAAACCCCTTTTACCTTCAAGTGCACCACAAACTCCTGAAAAATGGCAAGATATTATGGCAGATATTGAAAGAGTCATTATGCCTGGAGTAAGAATAATGAATTAATTTAACTTACATCATAAACAGGATATTTTTTAATGAAATAATTGATAAACAGTTGATAGTTATGGTAGCAAATGTAATTATTAATGAGAAAATATTTGTTTTCAGGTAACTCATTGGCATAGTCCTAGATTTCATGCTTATTTCCCAACGGCACAATCTTATCCAGCTATTGTTGCGGATATGTTGAGTGGAGCAATAGCCTGCATTGGATTTTCATGGGTATTATAAACATTATAATCACAATTAATCATTATTATTAGAAGTGTTTGATGTCAAGTATAATTCATGAATAACATTTTTTTTATTATTTATGTTATTCTGAATAATGTTTTACTTGTATTGATTGCTTTTTATTGTTGAGAATAATTCAAAGTGCTCTAAAAAGATGTTAGACTTTTAGTTAATTAATTATTTTGTGATTGATTTAGATCGCGAGTCCAGCTTGCACAGAATTAGAAGTTATAATGTTAGATTGGTTAGGAAAAATGTTAGATCTTCCAAAAGAATTCTTGGCATGCAGTGGCGGCAAAGGTGGTGGAGTTATTCAAGGAACCGCAAGTGAAGCAACTTTAGTGGCACTTTTAGGAGCAAAAGCCAAAAAAGTTCGCCAAATGAAACAAGATCACCCTGAATGGACCGATAATCAAATTATTGAAAAATTAGTGGCTTATTGTTCTCGTGAGTAATTGATTTTTCTTCTCAAAAGATGTCAATTTAGGTTAAATTGGCAACATAAATTTAAACTTTCTTATTGTATGGACTTGTAACAATCAGAGAAAAAAGCGAGTGAAAGAGTAAAAGCACGGGAAAAGAAAAGAGCTTGAGAGAACGTGAGTTTGAAGCACTTCATCAGCTAGCACTTAGTCACCATGGCGACGCGTAATAGCCACTCGGGTTATTATATATATAGTACTCTATCATACACTTTATCATATAATCATGGTCTCCAACATGTTGAATTTTATTATTTAACAGCTTTACTCACATCATCAAAGATTTTTTTAAATATTCCCACTAACATAAAAAAGTATGATACAACAATATTTAAACTTTTTATGATAAATTTTAGGATTAATTAATAATGAAAACTAAATTTATTAAAGATGAATGTTAATTAATGTTAATGTTAATGAATGAATGTATTAACATATATGAAACAATGAAAATTATTAATTTACAGGCCAAGCTCACAGTTCAGTAGAACGTGCTGGACTATTAGGTGGTGTTCAATTTAGACAACTTGATGTTGACTCTAAAAATAAATTAAGAGGTGATACACTTGCTGCTGCTATCAAAGAAGATAAGGAGAAGGGTTTAATTCCATTCTATGTAAGAATTCTTTTCAGAAATAATTAATAAATACTTTAATTACAAAATATGATAAATTAAATATCACCCTAAATTTTTTATAGGCAGTAGCAACACTTGGTACCACTTGTTGTTTGGCCTTTGATGCTCTAGACGAAATGGGTGTTGTTTGCAATCGTGAAGATGTTTGGTTGCATGTTGATGCTGCTTACGCAGGTAAATTAACTTTGATAAATTTAATGTAATATTTTGAAAAACATAATTCATTTTGGATTATTTAATTTAAGGATCTGCATTCATTTGTCCCGAGTTTCGGTATTTGATGAAAGGAATTGAGCTTGCAGACTCTTTCAACTTTAATCCACACAAGTGGATGCTTGTTAACTTTGACTGTTCAGCGATGTGGTTAAAAGATCCAACTTACGTTATTAACGCCTTCAATGTAGATCCTTTGTACTTGAAGCATGATATGCAAGGTTGTGCTCCAGACTACAGAGTAAGGCAGATTAAATTTACCATTCTTTTTCTACTGAATAATTTCTTTATAAATTATAAATATATTATTATTAAATTCAAAATTAAAATTCAGTTATTAATAAAGTATAGAAAATTTATTATTGTGCTCAACAAGGTTTTCCACAACATTCTTGTTTTTTAAAAACTTTTTTCGATAAACAATTAATTAATTTATTATTTAATATTGTTGCTTGTTTTTCAAGTATTAATATTAGTTTATTTTAAATAATAAATGATGTTATACAACGAATTACAATATTTATATTAATTGTATATTAATATAAAAAAATTTTTTCATTGTTGACTTGATTGGCCACTTAATTAATTTAATATGTTATTCATTATTTATTTATTAATATGATAAATGATAATATTTTTCTATCTATTTTAGCATTGGCAAATTCCTTTGGGTAGAAGATTCAGATCTCTTAAACTATGGTTTGTCTTACGTCTTTATGGTATAGAAAATCTTCAGAAATTTATAAGAAAACACGTAGCCCAAGCTCACGAATTTGAAGCTCTCGTGCGTTCAGACCCACGTTTTGAAATAGTAGCTGAAGTAATTCTTGGACTAGTTTGCTTCCGACTCAAGGTAAGAGATTGTGCTATGATTTTACAGTAATGTCGCTTGATCTCCTTGACCATTCTTTTTAGTCTAAACCTTGATCTCGTTATTAAATATTAAAAAAGAAGTAAACATTTGTAAGGACTATCTCACGATCTTCTTTACGTTATCACTGAAACTTGAAATTTGCTTTTATTTATTTTAGGGTTCTAACGAACTGAATGAAACTCTTCTTAAACGAATCAATGGTGCTGGCAACATTCATTTAGTTCCATCAAAGTGTGGAAGTGCTTTCTTTCTTCGTATGTCTGTTTGTTCACGATTTAGTGAGAGTAAAGACATTCAATATTCTTGGCAGGAAATAAAACGTCTTGCTGATGAATTACTAGCGGAAAATCAATCAAGTGAATTTAAAAATGGAGTTGCGAAGTAATTTCTTTCATCATTGCCATTTAACCACAATGAATAATGAAACTTATTTTAACAACTTCAATCAATTATGATTGAAAATGCATCATCGATGCATTGACACTTGAAAAATAATTAAATTGTAAATACATACATCGAACAAAAAGTATTCAACTACTTATAACTATATATATTTAATTATCTAAATGTTGTTATATATGTATTTATTATTGTTTTATTGATTCGCATAATAGTTTAATAGAGCAAGAAAATTATTTACTAATTGTGAATAAAATCTATAGAATAATTGCTATAGTCGCTAAAGTTATCATTTATGTTTTTTATATTTAAATTTTATTGCACAATAGCACTGCAACCATGACAATAAAAATAATAATGGAAATAATATTCATAAAAATATTAATAATGTGAATAAAAATAATAAACAATGAAAGACAGACTTGAATGCTTTAAGTAATACGTTATATTTTGTGGGACCAGTTTACAAAATAATTGATGTTTCTAATAATTGCAATAACCACAGTAACGTTGACCTGTATAATTACTGGATATAATCATATCATTGTTTCAATTTAAATGTTATAAAATAATTATCTATTCGTTTACTGTTTAATGGATTATAATAAATTATTGTTGTGAGCAAAACACTCGAATTTGTATTATGCTGTTTAATTCCACAATCGATTATTTAATCTTTGTGGAAGCCTTAAAAGTTTCATAAAATATTAAGAAAATACTTCATTGAATATAGTTATGATAAAATTTATGTTTATATGAAGCATTGAGTAAATAATTTATATCATTACATAACTTTTATTTAACATGATTGAAAAATAATGGATTTTATCATCATTCTTGTTAATTGAAATATCAAAAACATTCTTCACTTTTTATAAACATATAAATATCAATGAAAGATCATTTTAAAAATCTCTCTGACAATGATACTTCAAATAAATTAAATAGTTTATAATTAAAAATCTAAAATAATAATTAATGGGCCAGTCTTTTATAATCAATTTTTTCTAATTGCACCAACGGTTTCAGTTGTTCGGCAAATATTCTCATATCTTCAGCTATAGCATCTTGACCTGTTGGTGCTAGAACACTCAGTTCTACTAAATAACTCTGTGAAATAGGTTCTACTCCTTCAGAAATTTTACCTGGACTCATTTTGAAAATTTTTGAAACTGTAACCTTCATTCTGCCTTTCCTGAACATATATCCTCTAACGATATACTCAAAGTCTAATCTACAGCCTAGTTCTGTTAAAAATTCAACAACTGTGTTACTGGTACCAATATCTATACTACTTCTAACAATTGTTGGTCTTGATTTGTCACCAAGCTCCGGTTGACCAATGTATCTCAATTGCCAGGGCATATCAGTATGATCCATGGCTCTTCTAACTCGTAAATACAATGGCTGATCTGGTGGTGGACCCCTAAACGAAATCATAAGTTAATAAACATAAATTTTTCGTATGTTCTGCATAAAATTAAGTATACAACATTTATAATACCTTCTAATACTGAAGCACATTTCATGATCATTAAAAGTTTCAGGACCACTATCAACATTATCACACAAGCCTCTTAACCTGTGCAATAACACTTCAACGGTGCTGTCCAAAACAGAACCTTGTAACAAATATTCTTGATTAGGAATGATATTTGATTTTAGAGCTGCTCCTAAACTATCCATTGCTGTTGTTATTGGCGCAGACATTTTTATTATATTTAAAAAATACAAATAAAACACGAAAAAATTCTACTTTTTCAATCAAAAATTGATTGATTATAATCTTTTTCACGTGTCGAAACGAAATTCGATCAAAACAAAAACTGTGTTTGGGACAGCTCAACTAAAATTACCTTTTATTAGACATTCTCGTTGTTATCGGCGCCAAGTATTTCTTGAAAGAGCCACAAGATGTCGGAACAAAATGGCGGAAAAATGGACTATCATTCAAAAATATTATTGCACGTGGAAATATTATAACTTTTGAAAGAACAATATAAAAGAAACTATCTGTGCGTGAGTCTTTCTAAACTCGTATAATCAGTATCATAATGTACAGTACCGGACATAAATGCTGTTTAATTTTTTAAAGGTTATACATGTGATTTCCCTATACCGTCTTATAGAAAATCACACAGCATTTATGTCCGGTACTGTACTCATGCGCAATAGATGTTGAAAGGATTTACTCCATGAACTTTTATTTGTAATACATGTGCGCATGCGTATTTGTTTTTAAACATTCGCATGCATGTGCGAGTATACTTATGGCATGAGCCATTCAATACTCCATTATACTTCGATGACAGCTTCGATTTTTTCAGGTATTTGAGGTTAGATAAATAACCTTCTTCTGAGCCATTTAACACTCCGTTATTTTTTTGGCAACATCGTTCTGCTATAAAGTAAATCACAATAAATAAACTATGGCTGCTTACATCAATCGCACAGTTTCAATGATTGGAGGAGACAGCCAACTTCGTGTAAACGATGCTAGAATTGACAATTTTCAATTCTCTGGTCAACTGGATCATGATTTATGTGAAGAAAAGTTCTGTGAAAGCAATTTGGTGTGAATATTCTGGCCAAAAGAAAAGTGCTTCGTTTTGCGTGATGATGTAGTTTTTGTCGATAGTCCCGGCGTTGATGTGACACCTAATCTGGATGAATGGATTGATGCTGAATCAACTTTGATGGTGACAGTAAGTAATTGAATCAACTGCATGATTTTTCTTAATCATCTTTAAAAATAATTAATCATTCTTCTATAATGCTGCTTTTTATTACTTTATGAAATTCATAACCATTGTTATTTGATGTGTTTTATAATTTATATTGATTTTTATTCGATCGATGAACCACAAGATGTGCTTTGCTATTTGACAAAAAACATGTTTATTGTACTAATACTTCGTTCTCCTAATAGTCAATATGAATCTTTATAGGTACGAGCTCAATATTAAGACAAAGCTGTTGATTTTCTTTCGAAAGAACTACAAGTGTATACTCCGAAGGATGCTGAAGATCATATTTTCTTCATCTCAGCTAATATAAGGAAACTCTTCAAGCTCGTATGCAAGAGCAGCGTGGGTCAACCTGCACACAGTAAGTTCATCTTTAATCTTTTAATTTTTTCAATTTTACTTTTGTTAAAAAGTTGACCTTTTCCGTTTAATATTTATATTAATTCGAAATAAAGTAATTTGTTTTTATTTTAAATGAAATAAAAGTTTCTCTTTATTTGAAATATTGACTGATGATCTTGAAATTTCAAAGAGGAAAAACGTTTATTTAATATAAAATAAAAACAAATTACTTTATTTCGAATTAATATAAATATCAAACGGAAAAGGTCATTAATTTTCAAACTTTGATAAAGACATCAACTATGGGCCGTAGGTTCTAATGAGAGAATTAATTTTTCCTTTATAATTTTTATTAAATTTAACTTGTTTTTTCAATAATTAAATGATTGTTTTTTTCAGAGAAGAAAAGTGAATTGAATTGAATATCAAAATTTCAAAAAATTCTTCTGTAAAAAAACTAACGCTCGTACATCCTTAAAATTTGTTTTTTTATTAATTTGGTCAAATTTTTTAATTTTTTTTCTTCTTAATATAGAAAGACGAAGTTTTTATCAACTGAGGGATGCTCTCAATGCATTTATGAACCGTAATAGATTTGATAATTTTTCGAGGCAGCAAACGCAGGGAAGGCATGCGGAGAGGCAGCCACGCGTTCGAGAAAAAAGACGCGAAATGTAATAAACAAGAGAGCACGTTAAAGACGATTGTTATCATTCGAGTAAAAAAAGTCCAATGCATGATAAAGATAAGATTCAATATCAGTGCTCTGCAGTGGTCTGGGTGCGACCCGAAAGGTCCACACGACCAACTTCCCAGTGGAAAAAATGAAAAAACAAACATTCTTTATAACAAATGGAATTTTTATAAACGAAATGAGTCTGTTTTTATTCATTTGATGTGGTTAGTTACTTTATTTCAGTAAAAGAAAAAATTGTGCGTTAGAAGAATTCGGATATACCTCATAGATCCTTTTCTTCATTATTTACAACAAATTTCATTGTTTTACACGAAAATAATTCCGAACGTACGTACGCACATATGCACATACGCACATACGTACATACACACACGTAGACGTCCACTGGAAAACGGTCGTATTGGATTCGCGGGACCTTAAAACGTGGAGATATGTCAAAATTAGCGATTCGCAAAAACGGACCCATTACTATAACTTCCCACTGGGAAGTTAATAACGGTATCTCCAAACCAACTCTGAGTAGTGGAGGGTACAGTATGTTTCCACTTGATAATGCTGATAATTGTATGACTAGATCAACTCAAAGTAGTCAGAGATCTAGTACATCAAATGAATGTTGTTATTGCCAATGCCCGATACAACCTCATGAAGGATCTTGGATACTAAGTTGTCGACATTTTGCTCATACGCAGTGTTATGACAGTTTTCAGTGTATGATGAAGGTAAAATGGAGAGTTCATAGAAGTGTTGAATGAATTCAGTTATATGCTAATAAAGTCCATCTTCTTCAGTGTCAAGCTTGTAATGCTAAAGAATATTGAGAAATTTTATTATGGGACCACTTTATCTAGATTTTTTAAGGAACGAAAACTTGAGGAAGTATAATGTTTCTGAATTTTTATTATATAAATTTTAAGACATCTGTAAACAAAATAAATTTTACAGTGCACAAATACTTGAAAAATTGTATTAGTTGTATTTTTATTATCAAATAAACGATGTTCTAATATTTTGATACTTTTATAAATGAACAGTTAAAGTACATATTGTATTTTTCGAATAATAAATACTTTTTAAAGGAATACAATATTTTAATTAATGAAGTTGTATTAAAATATTCATAGGTTATAATCTTCAAGCTGATTTTCTGTAATTAATCAACTAATTTTATGTCGCAGAATAAAACTGACCATCATATTTTATTTAAATTATGATATATAAATTTTATTTTCAATTTGTGTAGATGGTAATATGTGACAAATAATTTAATGATAACGTTCAGTTTTAATTTCATAGAAATTTCAATTTTCGGTAACGATATGATTACTAATAGTACATTTACCGAAAGAATAACATAGAATATTATAATCTAAGTATTTCACACCCAATTTAAGATCTTTTATTTCGTTTCCTCAGCTAAGAATGTTTTTTTTTTTGAAAAAATTAGCAACTGGATATCATTATACATGTACCACATCTTGGAAATGATCAGATTATGCACATGTGTATGTTTAAACAGCTTTAACACATCGCTGATGACAATCTATGTCATGAGATGGATAAAGATCGAAAAGGCACCAACTGCCAGCTAAGCAGATATTTCTGAAGAGTTGTCTCTGCTTAATATAATATATAATTAGATAGGTTTTAAGAAATTGATTGATTTTGATTATCATTCAATTTTTTACATGTATGAATAAAAAATACACATAAATAAACTTATATTGTTGGATTTATTCTATTAAACATAGAAAGAATCATTGAATATAACAGTAAATGGAATAAAATAGGATATAATACGTAATTATCTAATACAATAATTATAATAATACAGTAAAGAAAATTTATAATATTCATATATTAAGAACATAAACTGAATAAAAAGACTATTAACATATATACAATGCATTTGTGTATGATTATTGACATATTTACAAATTTACACCAAGCAACATGACAGTTAATAAAATAATATCATTTACTATTAATTATTTGACAAACTGATCAATCACTTGTTTCTTGTCTTCGTCAGACAGGAAATGAATAATATGGTCTATACACTCATCTAGAAGAAATGGTAACTTGTTTTCTCTGAAGAAGAAATTTAATAAACTAAAAGTAACTTTATGTAATTTATTTTTTGCCAAAGCAGCCGTCAATTTTTTTCTAATAAATATTGCATATCCGGTAAATTTACTTGGGCGGCGTAGCATTGCTTTGAGGTTCTTAAGAAAGACATCGTTTTCGACAAATTTTGCGGCTTCTTCATCCGTACTGCTAAGAAAGCGATAAAGAGTGACGTAGCTGTTGTCGATCTTAGTCGCCTTGATGTATTCGAATTCATCGTCAATGATTTTACACATATTTTCACATTCCAGATAGTCTTTACGGCGTTCGTCGATCTTCAGAAGATCGACTTGGGCAACAGGATATCCAATCTTATGAATCAGATAAATATGGCGTTCGAGTTTTTCAGCCACTTGAGATCTAAGATCAAGTATAGTCTGACGTTTCAAGGGGTTCAGCAGAAACTGATTTTTGATATAGTAATCCACTGCGTGGCGAGCGTACAAAAATGCCGTGAAGCCCATCTCGTTAATTTTGCAAACGTCTGCTCCATGATCTAGTAGCACCTGGACAGCACTGGGTAGTCCTGTTTCAATTGCCCCAAAAATAGGAGTGCATTCGTTGGTTATAAATTTCGCATTAATGTCTGCTTCCTCGGAAATAAGCAATTTGACGATTTTAGTTTTGACTCTGTCTAGGCGCTCGTCCAGATGTCGTTCACAATATTCCAACGTTTCAACAAGTGCGAAAAATAAAGAGTCTGTTCTGATCACTTTTGCTCCATACTTTAGCAGAAGTCTTGTGATGTACAGGTTGCTTTGACTTGCAGCAGTTAGTAGGGGGAGTCTTCCATCATTATCACTAAATTTGTTGACATTGGCCCCATACTCCAAAAGTAATTGAACGATTTTTATTTGGTTGCATTTCACAGCAACATACAATATGGGTTCTTCATAAGAATCAAAAAGGATATCTTGATCAGGATTGACACCCAGTTCTAATAAGTTCTTAACAGCTTCGTAGTGACCGTTTTCAATAGCTGCTAGGATCAGCTTTGAATGAACGTCAGCTGGTTGCAAAGTGAACCCATAATTGTAGAGCATCTTCACCAGTCTCTTTGAATAATTATCATATCCATAAATTGCCTCTACGATTGCTTGCTGATTATGGTGGGAGTTGACATTTGGTCCATATTCCAGAATACATTTCACTATTCTTATATTTCCTTCTTTTACAGCACAGGTAAGTAAGGAAGTATCATGATCAATGAGAGAATCAGGACTGATTCCATTTCTCATTGAATAGCGAATAATTTGTACTCGATTGTACTTGATAGCATAATAAATCGCCGGTATTTTATTATAGCACATGGCAAAGAGATCGGCTCCATATTCAATTAATAACATTGCCATTTCATTGCTTCTTCGAGATAAAGCAAAATGTAGAGGAGAACAGCCCTTCCAATCTTCATGAAGGTAAAATCGGTTTGGATCAGCTCTATGTTCCAGCAAGAATCTCACCATTTTGATATCGTCTATTTTTAGAGCGATTTGGAGTGGAGTAAATCCTTCAGTTTCTCTGCTGTGGATATTATTCTCATTTGCCAAGTACTTTTCTAAATAGCCGTAATTCCTTGACTCGATGGCTTCTCGAAGACTTGATGGCCAGCAATAATTATTTACTTGGGATGATTCCATTATGGATAATTTAGTAAAGTTATGCACGCAACACTTTGCACTTCACAATTTTCACTTGACACTAACTTTGTAGCTTTATGAGCAAATAATGATGTTGTGCACGTAACACTTTGTACTTTACAATTTTTACTTGACACTGACGTGGTAGCTTTCGGAGCAACCTTGAGTTGTTACACTGCAAGGACTAAAATCTTTCTGATGGAGTGCCCGGAATGAATGGGCCTTTTATTGGCCGGCGGTCCCTCTGTTTCATGATGGGGATGTTGGGGTTGATGGTGGGAAGAGAAGACACTTGAATGAAGACATGTTAGTCGTCGTCTCAAAAGTAAGAATTCTGATTCGTAGATGCACAAAATTTACTCCACTAAGCTGCAAAATTCATTTTAGATTTTCACTTTTTGTTCATGTTTCGAATTTATTACACAATAGTTGTCTTTTTTCTTCTTAAAAAAAAATTTACTTGATTATATGTTGAAATCGGAATGTTTTTCTCCTTTTTATTGAGAGACACAAATGCAAACTTCTTCTTTCAACTACATAGACTTTTGTTGAAAAAAAAAAAAATTATAAAAATTTATCGAAAATAACTATAGTGTGCTATCACTGAAAGAATCAGTCATTGGATTGGCACTGGATATCAGTGAATATTCACTGATTCACAGTAGTTTTCACTGATTCAGTTTAAGAGAGTAATGTTTAACTGTTATGAAGGCAAATTCATTGCTATGATATAAATTTTTCCGTCATGTTAGTAAGGAAAGTTTTTATTTTCTTTTGTGGCCTTAAAATATTATAACTAAGAAAAAAATAATGTCTTGGCTAATTGGAAGTAAATTTCCAATTTAAAATATGTGTATGCATACAATAAATTTTTTCGAGTATTAAACGATCTTTCAACGTGCATATACTTTCAGATTTTGTAAATATTACAAAAGGAATTAAAATTAAATTTTCTAATATCTCGGGAATTTTGAGGGAAAGTACCCGACTTTTCTCATAAAGTAATAAATTGAAGGAAATCCCATTATATAATAGAAAGAAATAGAAACAGTTGAAAAATATTATTTCATTGGTGGTCCTTAGCTCATAAATCATGTTTAAGAACAACAGATGAAGAGAAAACAATTTTTGCTAATATTTATGTCCACCGGGATTACAATAAGCTGGGAAGGTCAAGCGTCACCCGCTTGAGTCAGGTAAACCCATGGAATTACCAAGAGAACAGGGTATAATATTCTTAATAGAATTGCTACTTGAGCTATTATCAACCCAACTTAGGGATAGATGACCCATAAAAGCTAAATACAAAGTTTCAACTGAAATAGTCCTTGTTAGTTTGTCAGGTACAGAAACTAATGCGATTACTTTCTAATAGAAGAACTTCGTCACTAGGTCCAGTACATAGAAAATTTTTTTGGAGCTAGTATTAAGCAAGAATTTTGCTAATGGAAATAACGGAAATTCTTTATGAAACTCCTGCTGGTGATTGTCTTGTTTATTTAATTTATATATAAATATAAAGTTAGTAGCAGGTAACTTAAACCAAAGATAAAAACCAACGACTGATTTGTTTTAGTTCAACATTATCATTCATCACTTAAGGATGAACGAGCGTTAATTTTTTCACGGTAGAATTTTTTGAAATTTTGATAACGTTGATACCAACACTAAATTTTACCATCAACTGTTGGCAAGCTTGTTCTTGCTGCAAAGACATCTTGTTTGTGGGACAAAATTCCATTTAGATAATTTTAAATATATACAAGTTTCAGTTTATTCATATACTTATTTATAATGGACATTAGATAATTTTTTCAACTAATATACATAATTGTTAATTGACAAAAAAATTTTTTTAAAAATTAACCTTAGACAAAAGGTTTTTTATCAATTACTTCATAATAATTAATTAATAGATAAAAACAATTATAATTTTATAAACTCCAAAAATGATAAATTGTTGTCTAGAGATTTTTATTTTTTTAAGTTGGAGCATGCTAGACATCTTGTTTATTTCGGCAACCGGTGGCCCCCCTTTTATTATTAAAAAAATAATGCATATGAATAATTATTTTTATTTTTTTTTTAAATTTTAGTTTGATTCTGTCTGCTAAGATTTGATTCACTTGATCAATC